CTACTTAAAAACCAAGTTATGATAGATAGGGCGAAATCTCACCTTCAGTTCGCTACAAAATTTGGCACGACTTCACAAATCCCTCTGTAAAATTTAAGCCAATTAAATCGATGACCTCCACGTGATTTCACATTGTGAAAGGTCACATTTTCCAGTCACTTTTACACATGCATGAGCTTGTGTCGTGGCTTTAATTTTTATTGATGAAACCAATTGGAAACATTTCAAAGGTAAAGTTATGCGACATATTTTTCCTTTTTCATCACACTTTGACCATTTCCGGTTTAACCACAATTTCCCTTCAATTCCATTATTGTTAACCAAATAAAGTTAACGTCCAGGATTATTCCATGTAATACCGTCGTTGGCATTAACGCAATTCTATTACAAATTCTTTTATCCAGCGACCGCTGAATAGGAAACTAACGCAAGATGTGCACAAGAAAGTAGGGGTCTTTAAAGCCAAAGGTTCGGTGGCTCAACCCGCGGCCAGCATGAAGAGCGGCACAGTTGGAATGCATTTCCTTTCTTTCCTGCACACCAATCCGGACTCGCGATACTCAAAGTTGAACCTGAAGAGAGTACCGTCTGTGTCACCGATGGTGAGAGTGACAACACAGCATTCACAAGAAAGAAGTTTAGCTCAAAGTAGGTCCGCTCGCTAGTTGATAAAAATGCCAAGGAGACCTCGTCTTAATCAGCTGAACTAGTGTTTCTGATATTTTATTTTTGCTGCGTCGAGATGAGCACAACATTCACCATTTTACTAATCTTGCCATCCTCTCATTATTCATGGTTTCGGACTGTCTCAGCCAATACTTCCCGACGTGGATCCTTGTGTCGATTCATTCATTTCTATTCGCCTGTCATTCTACACAGCCATCTGTTGTTATTTGAAGCGTAAATGTGATGCAACAGTAAAAAGTCCATTAAGGGATTCCAAGTGGAAAAAATTCATGATGGAGTAATTGGAAATTACTTTAAATAGTGGTACGGATCTGTAGCACAATTTTCTATTCCCCGAAAACGCAATTCAAGAAATGCTCTAAAATGCTGAAAACTCGCCTCAGCCTCTTTGTACAGGTTCAACAGTCAAACCCGAGCCGGAGTTCTTTGTGAAAGCCCTAGCCTTTTGTCTACAAAGCCTCGAAACATCCTCCACTGAGACTTTTACCGATGCTTTGGACAGTATGGAGGAATCCTTGGAAGGCACAATCTCTTCCACCACAGTGAACACGCCTATTCGACCAATGAACGATTGGACCTTTGAAATGCCACAATTCTTTAACGGTCCACTCTCCGCTGCCATTGATTCAGTTAAACGAGGACCTGGCTGCTCAGTACGTCAATTACTGTGCCGTGTGGTCTTCGATGCTGTTTTTTGAACTTCACACTCATAGTTAGCCATATGCAAATAATTTCCATCCTAAGTTTCTAGCCTTTTCTGAAACTAAGGCGCTATTGTAGACTCATTGGATCACTCCATTGACAAGTTTTATGATGCCATAACACTAATCTATGAATCTAAAATTCACAACTCGAACCCATTTGGTTTGGTCCATTGCATTAACGATTTTGGTTGAAGTTTTCGGTACGGTTGTTTTGATAACCCCAGTTTTTGAGGGTGCCAGAGAGAGACACCTTTCTTGCATTTGTAAAAGGCACCACCACTGACCACTGGGGATCAATCTAGGTTGAACTTTTGACCTGATTATTATGCTAGTAGTTGCCGTGGCTGAATAATTCTGACCAAAGTTAAAGAAATCACATGCTTGAATTTGGCAGAATAGCGGTCGATGGGTGTAGAAACGCGTTTGTAAAGTCTCTAAATAAGGTGTTAATGATAATAGATAGGCCAGTAGGCGAACCTCCTGCTTGGATCACTCTTACCTCGTGCTGACCACCAAAACTAATTTTACTGCACTTCTTTTAGTGGCCTCCAATAATTCTAGTACTTTTCGGAAAGGAACCAGTCTCAAATCGAAACTTTGTCAGCAGGGTCCTCTGCAGCGGTGTGAGAGGAGTACCCACGAAGGATCGCCATGGTGGCGATGACATTTCGATCGACTTAACCTCACACTGTATTCAGGACATCGGAATGGCTCCAACCAGCATTAACGGCCTTCTTATTGAACATGCAATCAAGATGGTTCCATGGAGCTGTGCCACTTCTGAACCTCGACGAATTTTGGCTGCAGCCTTCCGTGGAACGCGACTGGAACAGTGGCTCCACGAGTGGTGTCCTGTAAGGGTCCTTGATCAATAGGACTCTACTTATTTTATATTAGTAAATAAGGCCGTGTAAGTTCAATTAGTCTTTGATGAAGTGTTAGATAGCTTGTTGTTTTCTTTACTATTTAAAAAGTTAACTACACCCAATAAGTTGGCAGTTACCAGCTCACAACTTCATAGATATTCTCTACAAATTCGTTTCCAATTAGTACAATGACTACCCTCGCCTTGTTGCCGTTGGTCGAAAAAAAAGGGGAGATGTGGTGTGCAGCGCATTTCGAGGCTCTTTGGAGAGAACTATTCGATGGATGGAGTTAGTGACACAGGCACACTTCCATGACTATGATAATGCCAAGAAGTATGGCGTGGATTGGGATGTGTCTTCGTCAGAGTCTTTTGGATCAAGTGATGAGGAGGTAAAAAAGGGACGACGAAAGTTATTACTTCATGTGGAGCAGGAGGTGAGTTCAACACAAGGGGATTTGCCCTGAATCAAGACAAATATGGGTTTATTTGCTATTATACTTTGAAGTATGCGTGGAATGCTTTCAGCTGAGAGGTGACAAAACGCTCCAACATTATAGCCCTAGAGTTGATTGACCTAGCCTTAGACGATGACCACTCATTCATTTTACGTGAGCCGAGATGATACTTTTACTCCATCTACTCAGTGGTAAGTTTTTGCTCTCCAAGGTTGAACTTAATGCTTGAATGCACAGGAATTGGACTGCCTTTCCATCGGCTTATTCTAAGTTTTTAATTCAGATATTTTTTTGTCAATCAACTTCAAGGAGGTTAATTGCGTTGTTTTAGCCCAAAAAAGGAAGCATTAATCCTTGAGATGTGGTACAGCAAGCTATGCGTATGGAGTTAGAAGGGGTATTTAAAGTCGCAAGAATGGACTTAAAAGCTTCACACTGAGATTATGCCATGCGTGTCAATGGACGACCTTCCCATTGGCCAAGTCGTGGGCTGAGGCACTTCGAGTCATTAACTTTGATAAGGCAAATGCGCATACTGAACCATGCAACAACGTGGGCCAAACCCGCAAACCAGACAAGGTTGATTTACATTCATCAAGTTGTAGCAACCAATTTTTTGTGCAATGAGCAACTTCGGCTCAGAGGCCTTGACGTATGTCTGCGCCCTCCAGGGTGTGTGCATCTATAAATCGCAGGCCAAAGTGTTGCAAAGCTCCAACAACGGCTCCACTTTTCGACCGAATCACAAGAAGCATCCAATTGGAAGGCTGTTTTACTGTCATTTTTGTTTCAATTATAATTTGTGCATTTTGTTCTCTGCAATCACTAGATCAAATTCGAATGCTTCAAAAAAGAGCCTTCGAGGATCCTCGAGGAGAGGACAAAAAACGTTATTAAAAGTAAGCATTTGTGCTACTGCCTGCTCAAAAAAACCTACAGCTTAAATTTACAAAAGCACATCAGTCACACATATTGCACATCAATAAGCGAGTTTTCTATGTGTATTTTGGTGGTTGTGCTCTTATTGGGTCGCTTTCGTCGCCTAAGCTTAAAAGTCTTTCTTCTGATTCCCTTCACACTGCTCACCACACCATAACTGATGGACGGAAGCTTAAAAACATTTGCTTAAACCTGCGTAAGATCTTATGCCGTTCCTAAATTGCACCTTTCATCAGTTAGTCTCGATTCTCCTCAGGTTTTAAATCAACGAGACAAGGTTCACCAGTTCCGTCATACTCAGCAGGCATCCCACAGCAGACATCCAGCGCTTACACATCGTTCACTGAACAAGTGGAGAACGGCCTTGTCCATCCCACTGAGAAGAGTTGTGAAACAGTACCTTCTCTTGACATCTCATTGCATCAGCAAGTAGTGGATGGAATACATAAATTTTGGACTACCTTTCGAGACAAATTTATATCGGGCTTACCCATCCTTCCACCACTCTTGCTGACAAGGTTTTCCACTGCTCTGATACGTTGCTTAGACCCAAATTTAGAAAAGGTAAATTCAGCTAAAACGTGTGGTTAAGTGGAGAATACAGTTAACAAGTGATGTGCCAAAATACCGGGTGGTGTTTACCACCCATCTGCTCTTCCTTCTAAGAGTAGCAGGTGAAGCCTCTGCTCGTTTACCTACACGATGGTGAAGCCACTCCCACAGCTCACTTCGTGGCAAATGTGTTGTGTTCTCAACGCTTCACTCACACGCTCTACAAACGCGGAGTTGGCATATGGCCAGTGGACTTAACTGGAGTTGCTTCTTCATCCAACCAGCATTCCCACCAAGAGGGTGCAGAAGATGATCGAAAACCGTCAAAGGAGACTGCTTTGGAGGACATTCCACAACAAGCACATGCTCTGCTGCACCTCTTTCGAGATCATCCAGCAAAGTGGGATATTTCCGGAATCCTCTCGGTTAGTCTAAAAACGGCTCATCATTGTCCAATCCTTAGGATAAATAGTGGTCCACTCAGTGTGGAATGAGATGTCAAGATGTTTAGCTAAATTAGCGTAAACAGTTGAAAGAGTAAGGGCCCCTCAGAAGCGGTTAAAGTAAACAATCATGCAGATGCAAAATTTGTTGAGAAGTGATTGGTCAATCGATTGGCCATTCACGTTGAAACACGCATTCAACCTAGGGGGTGGGGCCCCTTTGCTAGCCAATAGTAATAAAGGAATGGCTTGTATGCATTGTAGAAGCGCATTTTGCCCTCACTGATGGCAGTACGAATACAAAATGGTAGGCTGTGTGTTGTCTCCTCGCTGCACTACAGCGCAACAACAAAACAGAGCGTTTTGTGGTTGTGTCAAATCATGGCTGCATTCGATTACGAAATCAACGAGGACAACATTGACTTGGAAGAGACTCAGACAATTTTTCATTAAATCTATTATGTGAGGCCCACTTCATTCATCTCTTTAGTATTGGTTGTGGGCTAGGGGTTAATGCTAGAAGTATAAATCAGTTAAAAGTCAATTATATGTTGGTGCTTGATAGAAAAAAACGATGAAGAAGCAAATACTTCAATACTCGATCTACTTGTGGGGGATTATTGAAAAATAGAGTGAGGAAATATTTTTGTTGTTACTGGTGCACCGAAAAAATAGTTTAATGCAAGTGATAATTGGGGGAAGGTGAGGGAGACACAATGACCAGATGTGTACCAACATTTTTTGAACGATATGTCCGGAAAAGTTTGCCCAACTTTATTTCTCTTACTCAATAGGTAGGCGTTGGTGCTGTTATCTTTGGAAGAAGTTCAAGTGCTTCCAAAATCACTCCAAATAAACGACCACTCAGGTGACCAGAATGAACAATCACCTGCTCATATTCATGTTTGAACCTTATTTAAGGTTGAAGCGGAAGCTGTGATCTAAATAGCCTAATCAGACCTGATCCTAGCGCTGAAGGGAAGCTAACGGGCTGATAGCGTAAAAGGGAGAGACGCAATGCCTTTTTGATCGAGAGGCACTGCGGCTCTTGGTGAAAGTACGTTTTTTATGTGAACTCAGGCGCAAGATGCGTTGGATTGATAAGAAGACAAGTTGTCTCACACCCATAAGAAATGCGGAAGTGATGACATAGAAAAGTGGTAGACAAGGCTTGACATTGCTCGTTTGATCTGCTCAACAGCTACTGACAGAGGAAATGAAGTGTACTGGATAAGATCACAATGATAACTTTGACAGCGGGTAAGCACAATCGAAATTTGCGTTATGTATAAATCGCCTGTCTAAAGCGTGAAGTGATGAAACAAGCACTGAATGAGCTAGAGTCAGCCGGCGCCCGAAGTAGTCACTTAAATCCGCTTGCACATGACTGTGGCAGAAAGAGGTGCTCCAAACGTTGCTGACATGCGACTAGTGATGATGAGTGGACAGACAAGCAAGAACAGGACCATCTTCACGAACTGGCGACATAGCCAGAGGAGCACATAAATGAAGGCCGACAACGTGATCCGCCTGTGCACGCATTGACGACATCGAAGGCCTTTCGAAGCTTCTTGTTTGAGTCTCCACGGGATCCACATGCAGCACACAATTAGAAAAAATTGTAGATTTTCACAAATTTGACTAAGAAGATGACAGCAACACTACTGTTCATGTTGGCAACCTTGTTTACCGACCAAGTTTAAAATAAAAGCTAACCTAGTGAATGAACCAGCAAGGCTTCCCTTATTTCATACTCCTTCAAAGGATAAGCAGCAAACTCTCGAAATCATATTTTGAAAGACACTGTTGGTAGTCAATAGTCGTGGGGATCGTAGGGTAAATCTCAATGTCTTCCACGCCTCTGGAAGAAATCCTTCAGCCTATCAATCTTTCGCCTTCTTGTTTGTGCAAAGTTGACCCTTGTTGATCGCTCTGTTGAGGCCGAGGCAGAAATCGACGATGTCGTTCTTATACCAATGGGCTCAATGGAGTTGGTGTCAAAGCCAGGAGTGGAGGTGTTCCGTCGTGGAGACACGTAACCTTGATCCTTAGAAGTGTGTTGATGAAGGAGACGTCGATCGAATTCAGTAAGGCGAGAGGGATCGGTGCTAACAACATCGGCGAGCAGACGAATGGCATAGGTCCGCCAGCGCTCCGCATCTTGTGCTGTTGCCATTGTTGCGGTGTTTTCTTGGGCCTCGATAAGGTCTTTCGGTGAGAGACCGCTTTCCACCATGGCACGTACTAGGCGGTTGGCATACTCCTCCCAGTGTTGCTTTTCAGTGCGTAGCTTTCGGATTAACTCAGCGGCATCGCTTGAGGTGTCTTGAGTCTGTTTAATAAAAGAGAGAGGTAAATTAGTGAAAAAGAAAAATTGTTCCATACTGCATCATCCAAATTCGATTAATCAACTCACCTGTAGACGACCGCGAGCAAATCCATTTCCACTCATTTCATCACCGATACTGTTAGTTCTATTTCCCTTTCTCTGGCTTGCGCGTTCATCGTCTACACGTTTGCGAAGGAAACTACCTTGTTTCCTCAGCCGCGCCATTTCTGCCTCCGTTGTTCTCCGCTCCTTTCGAAGCCGCTCCAACTCGTCCTGCATCTCATGGTACTCTTCCACCATCTTCCGAATCTCGTCTGTCGCACCCTTACTATTCGACGCAAGAATGAAGTTCCGGAGCTGAAATGGAGATAGTTTTAAAGCCTTTTGTTTGAGGATGATCGAAAGATTCTCATTTAATTCGAGGAAGTAAAATGTCCTTTTTGTCTCTTAGCGTTCATATTTGCTAACTCACCAACTAACCATTTTTGAACAGGAGCCAATTCAAAATGTCCTCAAAGTCAAAAAAATAGGAGTTTAGAAGCTATACACGATGCACTGAGCAATTTTTAATGATAACCAATCATCGTTTAAGGTGAGACGTTAGGAGGTGAACGCAGTTACTTATTTAACAGTTAAGTAGTACTAAAGCCATTTATTTAGTAAAAAAAGATTGAGAAATGCACTGAAAGTGATTTCGACTTCTTATCGTCCTCTCACAAAATCGCAACAAATTTTTTACTCAAAGTTGCCTTTGTCAATAACCCATAAAGTGAATGGGATTAAATCTGCATTTCCTTGGAGTACCAAATGCAGCAATACCCAACCGAAGTTTTGATGTAACAATGAAAGGATGGTTTTCCCAGTTGCAAAAGATGTAATTTGTCTCTTATCAGACAAGGTACGATTCCTTATTGAGGTATCGTTGAGACCCAAAAAAACCTTGTCTGTTTAAACTGACCCAAAGAACCCAAAAGTGTCACGGGACTCTCCATAGGATGCACTTTTAGTCATGGAGGGTAGTTCATGCAAATGACAGCGGAATTTTGTTTATTGCACATGGTTAAAAAGGGCCGTCATCATAGCTGTTTCATAGATGGTAGACTGGTCGTTCCAAAAGTAATAAATCATCTGTACTTGCGACGCTTCCATGCTAAAGTGCATAGACAGAGATGAAATGAACATTCCTGACGTAAGGGCGTTTCGCTCCAACCCGAATGCATCCTGTCTAGTGGCATGTGAATGGGGTGTGATGACGGCACCTACTTCACTTCACGATTGTCAATTCCGTGAGTAGCTAACCGGAAGACACGGATCTCCGTCCCTCCTAGGGTTAGTGAGGAGCCAACATTTAAAACATACTGGTCTCTTCTGACTGGCATAGAAGCATGAAAAGAGAGAGTGTTTCTGAATTCCATCATCAGTTCCACTGTAAACTTGGTGAAGTACGTCACGCATAAATCCGTTTGGTCATGTTGTTGCTTTGTCGCCAGTGCGTAGAAGGACAGATTCAGCAACTTCACGATTTTTGTGGCCTTCATCATCGCAACTACTCCACAGGAGTGGTAAAATGGAAAACCTCCGTGTGAAGCACATTAGTTTAGCCTAAAGCCTAATTCTGTGCTTGGTGGAGGTGCTACAAACTCACAAGTGCAGGTCGGGATCGTGCCTGTCATATGACTTCGGCCAAGCGATAAAGTTCAGAGGAGTAACTGAAGGGGCGCAAAAGTCAAATGCTATCTGCATCAAATGGCGAGGCCCTCTGCCTTATATTGAGCAGGATGAGTGGCCACTTTGGGAGTCCACCCCTCTTCCATCACAACCACAAGGAATGAAGTGGACCATGGGATTTCGAGGAATTGCAACGGAAAAGCAAAAACGTTTCAGTACAAATAACAATTTGCCACTTTATACACTTGTAGATGTAAAAATTTTCCACTTCAGAGCTGCAGTCGCATGACGATGCTGCGACAGTTGTGCGCCTGCAAAACGGCCTTGAAGTATTCTGTTTTGAGCTCAGAAGGAGGAGGAGGAGGAGGGGGCGGTATAGAGATGAAGGTCCTAAATGATTGGCTAAACTACTTGTGCTCTTTCATGCCCGAAAGCACAGTCAAATTAAGGAGATGCTATGTTTGAGAGCTTTTTGGTTTGAAATGCTTTTGTTGCATGTGACTGTAGAAGTGACCTTGCAAATTTCAAGGAAGCGCCCATTTGCTAGTGAAATTGACTAGACCAGAGCCGAGCACAGATCCTCCGCTTTTGTTATTCTGATAACTCTTTAAATAAAATCCTCAAACTCCTCGTCAGTCATTTGATTCCATTAGATGAGAGAAAAATGGTAAAAGAGCCACTTATTTACTACTTCTAAGGAGGTCTCGGGCTATCTGTAGGCCATTTATAAACCATACAAGTAATTTCTCCAGCAATCTGCTCCCCTTTGGAAACGTTACTGTTGAGTTTGGCCAAAGTTTCCTCAGAAGCGACTAACCCTGTAAACAAGACTTCAAGCAGCAATAGAAAATGATGTAATTTCTTCTTTGGATCGGCGGAGTTAGGAGATGAAGGTGGCGCGGAATGTCCTTTCCGTCCCCATGGAAAGAACCCTAAGTGATCTCACTATTTTGACTGTCTAATTTGTGACGCAAGTGCTATCAACGTCACTGATGTAAAATACCTCGAGATGGCTTCCCTATTTCGCACTCCACTTACATGTGACACGTGACTTGATGGTACGCTATAAAATTATTCGTACTTGTGACCAACTTTAGACCACATCCAAATGGGTGGCCCTCACCTCAAATTGGTAGTACTCCACGGACAGTGAAGGTGCCTATTCGGTGTTGAGTGGAGTAAGTTGTTCAAGACTCGCACTCCTCGATCAGCCTATTTGGCTCAGAAGAACAAATATCTGAGCACTGTCGGGTCGGAAGCGTCGCTACTCATCGCGACCCTGGGTCTGCATGCTAGAACACGAAGTGTAACCAAAAAAAGATCTTGTGGTGACTGCTTCAGTGATGTTTTAAGTCAAATAACTTCTTGTCGGACTTGCGAAATCAATGATCTCAAGACGATGGAACTCACCTTCAAGGCTTCAATGTTTGATTTGCTGACGGCAACTTCCTGTCTGTAGACGGCTAGCTGTTCCTGTTGTTCAGTTATGATCATTTGGGCCTCTTCGAGATTGCCTTGATACTCGCTGCAACTCTCACGAAGAGCCTTCAGGTCTCGTCTTAACTCCTTTGCTTCTGCATCCTTCTCATCTATCAACTCATAGAGAAGATCCACGTCCTGAAAGGACAAGATAGAATAAAATATGAGCATCGCATTTGAGTTCAAGGGGTTGTTGGCACGTCAAAGAAGGGAGGAACATTTCAGGCGGGTAAAGTGGAGAGGAATAAAGAAGGAGGGATCGTTCGAGAGCTGATGTATTCAAAGATAAATCGTCCACAGCGCTTATTGCAAAGATATAACGGCAACTATCAATGAACCTCTGCTTTCTGCCAATCCGTGCTTTCATATTTTACAAACAACTTTTCTTCCCTTCGTGAAACCTAATGTAAGATGCGATTTTTCACGCCACTTAGAGCTAAGCATTCGCCGTATGCATCGGCAGATGGGAAAAAAATACGATACATGGCCAGCCCAAAGTGCATTAAAGTGTCACAATATTGCCATAGCCATTTTGTTGGACTTTGGAAATCAGTTATGACGCATAGCATGGAGTTGCCATTGCAACCGGAGTACATGTTAGCGTGTTTGCGTGTGTATATGCAAATCAGTCAATGGGAGATAAAAATAACTTAGCTCAATTTTTTTATCTCCATTTTGGCTGTGTCAACTGATTAAATTATTTTTATTGATCTGATTGATCCAAGGTCAACCAATCACGGTGTGACTAAGGCAATCAGCACCAATCAGGTGATTGCATTTAGTTAAATATGCTATTATTATTGCATTTGATCTGCAAAGTAGTCATAAACCACGCTTATGGGATCTCCTAGTCACGCAAAAGCTTTTACGATGCGTCTATTTTACCATTAATAGTTGATGTGGCAATCAGGTAAGGAGAATTGCATAACAGTGGAATATTTTTCACCGTCTATGCACAATTAACTAACAGATAGATATTGCTTGGCGCCATATAGCTGTGCAGAGAGCTAAACCCGCACTAAAACAAGTAATGGACTATGCAATCAATCCCGAAAACCGGGAGCTTTATTTTCATCAACATTGGCTCATTTAGTCGGGTGAAATGAGCAAATTGAAGTACTAATGGAGAGCATGGCCATAGCACCTAACCCTTTATATGTATCAAAGATAAACCATTCCTGCAAATACTCCACCACTGGGATGGAGACCGCAATAATCTGTAAAAGTACCATGAAATGAAATGGGACAAGCACTTCATAGCCTGATTTACATATTCCTTAAGGGAACGTTTCCTCGTAAAAATTTCCTCTCCTATCGACGGATTGGACTTTTATTGCATCACCAGCCGCGTCTTAATGATCAGTGACTTTGAAATGGATTGGTTGTGTAAATGGGATAATTAGCTATTTTGATCATTCACTTTTCCCCATTTCTAACCTCTGAGCCGAAATGTGGTCCATGTTTATTTCTCGGGACGAAGATGAGTCACAGCAATTTGTGCAGTGCGGATTGAGGTCATTTGAAAAGTCTTACTAGCAGAGTATGACCCCATTGGATATTGCGCTAACGCGTGTTTGTGTGCTGAATGGCACAGAAAACCTATGGTGTGTGTAATCTTGCCTTGCTATCTACCCTTTAGTAGATAATATGACATCACTTGGCGTTTCGCTTAGGTTCTTACTTTCATGACATTTTCCGTCATTTATTCAGAAGAGAAAGAAATTTTTGCATATTTGTGGCCTTGGTACTTTATCAACGTGACTGCTTTTTTCTTCTGACTGTGGCTGCAGTAGCCAAGTGTCAACGGTTGGCCAAATCGACTCCTGAACTTATATTGTCGGCACATTTAATGAAAGCAAAAAAGCAAAATCTTTTCCTCTTTGACTCACCTGAGCCAATTCACTTGTATTTGCTTCATCTGAATATTCCTTAGCCTCATCAGCACCATCAAAAACCCGACTTGCGCTTCCATCCAATCCAGAGGCGTTGAGACTCATTACACCAGCTGTACGGTGCATTGATTGGTTAGAAGTTGGATGGTCGGTGCTCATCTCCCGCAAATCCACCGGAACTGAGACTACATGATCCATTTTTACAGAGGAGGAGCCTGATGCCTCGTTTGGTGCTATCATTGTGAGAATGAATTTTGCGGGTGGCGGCTTTCAAAAGCACGAAGGTTTGCTTTCCTGATTGGCTCTATTGTTCGACCAATAATCAGCGAGCCATACAAATTGGTTACTATCATGATTGGCTGAAGTAATTTGAGTGTGCTGCACGAAATGTGAACGGATAGGTGTTGATATGTACACCCTGAGCTGGGTCTCTTGTCTCCTCTAGCAACTCAAAGTCTGCTTATATTAATTTAAAGCCCTGGCTAGAGCCTACCGCTATGAAAAATAGACCGAATGCCGCCAAAGAAAGTTTAACTCGTTGAAGAAATATATCACGAACTCTTTCAAGTGTAGATAAAAGTGGGTAAAATTGGAATTAAGGAGAGTGAAGGTTGTGTTCGTGCTTGCCTTTTTAAGTATTAAATTAAGCATTTTTAACCTAAAATGTTTTAATACTGGCAGATTTTATGCCTAAAAATGGGACAAAGAGTAAGTGGGTTTGAAGGTTAACTTCTAGTGGCTTATTTGATGTGCAATTTAGGCTGTGGCAGCTGCTCATCATCATAAAAGCGACACCAAGAGAGTTAAATGTGCGAGGAAATAAAGTAACTATAATAACAAAAAAAATGAGAAATTTTTACGCTGCGGTAGAGCGAAGTATGGAATTTATGCTGCGAACGGTAATAGCATCGTTCTGTGGTTGTGGGAATTCGCTGGCGCTCTAGGGTTGTGATATACACACAATAAATGCCGAAAGCCTTACTGAAGCTTGCAAAATGGTGGGAAGAGAGGCACATAGCGATTCTTCTCATTGTGTTAACAAATGGAGGGTCATTAAAATGTGCCTTGAAAAAATAAAGGTGAGGGAAGAAGGGGTGGAAAGATTCAACGGCACAAATTTAAGGGATCAATTGTCTTTCTTGAGTCCGTTTTACGTTTAAAGCATCCCTTACTCTGGTGAATCGCCACCATTTTTTATTGTCTTTCCATTAAACGTTTACCTAAACCCCACACACCCTCTACACCTTGCATTTACCTTTCTCCCTCCGCCGATGCCTGTCAGGCATGGCTACCACCCAAGCTCTGGGTTATGACACTTTTATGTCTTAGATGTGGTAAGAATACCAAGCACAAGACAGCAACTCAAGCGACCTACCAAACGAACCCGTCTTTGAAGGTCCTCCTCCAAATCTCGCCCTCTCACTTTTCACTGCAAAAAGGTAGAGTCAGAAGCTTTTATGACATTAATTATAGGTACAAATTAAGGAGTTTTTTGTTTTTAGTATCTTACTACGACACCAAAAAAAATGTAACTGAAATGTCTGTGGTGTTAGAAGATGCAAAGTGCGAGTGTGTACTGTATGCCTTCCATAAAGAAGGGATGAATGTCAAATTAGCTGGATGGATAAGTGGATGGTGAAATCCACCTAAGAGACATTCTCATGAATCCAGTCGGAAATTCCACGAGTGCACGCATAGACTCCGTAGTGTTCACCGCAGCCCAAAACGGAGCCAAAACTGGTTACGCCGTAGATGTACCATCTTCCATCCTCGGGGTTTTGGCAGAACAGTCCACCACCGCTATCGCCGCGGCAAGTATCCTAGGCAAAGGCATAGAAAGAAGGACCACGAAATCGGGACAGGTCATGCTTTGTTAAACTATCTAACTATGTAGGTCAAAAAAACTTTACCACAAATGTCAACGCAGATAGTGCGCGTGTTAATTTTCGCCAAGTAGAGTAGACTTGGACATTTATGGCCTCTTTGTTTAGTCTAGCAATATAAGGTTTTTGCACTTCCTACTATTCGCTTTTCTACTTAAAAGGTACCAACATTGATCGTTTTTATGCGTGGTAAATCCTCTTATTATTATTTTTTAGGCTGCTAACACTAACCCCTCTAGGTAATTCTTCGCTGTGCAAAATGTGACATGATTGTGTACCTCAATTAACTGTTCTGCCTATGTGAATATGTCTTTCACTTCAAAAGTTATTTTACTTTTCCTTTCTCCCCCGCGCAAACGTGCACCCATTCACGAAGATTTCGGAAAGTCCTACGACATCGCTGTAGTGAGACGAGAGGCAAGTCTACTTCGAGTAGCCGTAGTGGTTGTCTGGGTCCGCGACATCTGCGATTAGAGGCGGAAGATTGGCCCAAACCGCAGGGTCTGGGAAAAAGGCTTGCAGAGAAGAAGTCAATGAATCCGAAGGGTTCAGGAAGAACTGTAGTGTCAGGTGAAGTAGCGCCCCAACCTGCTGCGTAGCAGGTGTGACCTTCAGGCAAGTGAAGGCTTCTATCCGGAATGCAGATTGAGCTCACCTTTTCACCTAAACGTCAATAATAGACGTTTAAAAATGTACTACTTGAAATCGCTTGTCAACGCCGATGTATTATCATCCCATTATGGATTATGTAATCCATTTTAGTTGGATTTTTCTTCTTCTTTACTAAAATATATTGCTGTTCGTTAGTTATACAACCAAATTGTGACCAATAAACTGTTGGAAACTAAGGCGTGCACCATTGGCTTTTTATAAACAGATTGGTTTGGGCCGGTAGATGAAGTATTAAGGTGTTTATCTTACGCCTCTATCGAATCAAAAGAGTCCGCAATAAGCCAACTATTTTAGTTCTTAACTCTAATCGGGTTACAAATACAAAGGTTTTATGCAGCATCCATGCGCTCTAGCCAGATGGGAAAAAGCCAGCTTTTTAGAAACTTATTTTGACATTTTATGCTCCATGAACAAATGGGATCGAAGATTTCTTAGAGTGTACTTATAAAGTATGAAAGGATCTGCATGACAATGACAAGTTTGAGGGGATGGCCGTATACTTGAAAGGACCCTAAAATTGAAATAATACAACACTTTCCGACGTGATATAATTACTACCGAATAAATAAAAGTAGTTAATTAAATATAGCAACAAAAAGGTAATAAAATTGTTGAGCCAGCGTTCTTCAGTCAAAACCAAATCCCCTACTAAATCACACTCTAGTCTAAGGAACTCCATAACCTTAAGCCTGACTTCCCCCCATCGTGCCTAGGCCTTGGGCATTATGTAGCCTCAGATCAAATCGTATAATGAGTCAACTGCATGCATCGATGGTCTTAAAACTCGCAAATTATTAGTGTCAGCAAAGCCAGATTTTATATTGAATAAAAAACTCTACCATTTTGTTAATAAATTATATCTATTCAAAAGTCATGCACGCTCTTATTGGAGTTCGAAATTACGCAAGCTGAAACGTATTATATCTGCCTATAACAATATACGACCAACAAATTTTTAGAAGATGTATTTCGAGCTTTAACTGAGTCAGATAAAGTTGAGGAAATCCTTTCTAGCCCCTATCAATAGTGGATTTTAGTAAAACATCTTTTATAAACCTTAAATTACATCACCATTGGCAAAAATCGATGCTTATCGAGTCATGTCTACATATCTTTTGTGCAATTTGGATTGCCAATCTAATATGTGCACCTTCACATTGAACCTGTGCTATCCAAAAGCGTATTGACAAGGATTTTCTCAGTTAAACTCTTTCGAATTGAACATCGATGGGAAGAATTTCTACTGGAATTACTAAGAGTTTGCTTTTTAAGCTGATTTTTAAAGCATCTCGAAGTCGGTTCTTCGAAATGGTTGCTTACTAAATTCCACCGGTTCATCTAGTTTTAGAAGAGCTACGTCAAACCCTTGCTCCGAAAATCCTCTTCGATAGTCTGGATGAATAATTGCTAATTCAATAAGGCGAGAGACCTCTTGCGGCCCATCCCTTCTACCACGGATGTGATCACCAATTCTGGCGCGAATACTTAGCTCCAGCTCCTCCTCTACGGAGAAGATTTGACCGACCGTGAGCACCTTGTCGGGTACCAATTCACTGAGGCAATGGGCCGCTGTGATAAGCCACGAAGGTGCGATTAGTGTTGCTCCACAGAAGGGTGATTCAATAGCGGAGCGCGAAGACCTGCCTTCAACAACGGGAGTCCGCACATACAAGGCCACCTGAAAATTCGGCATCCACAGAGCTTCAAAATGAGTGCCATTCGGGCAATAGCATAGGGCACAGGTTATTGGTTTAACTAATTACTCTTTTGGAAGCACAGGATTACCTTTCTGAAATAACCGGGAGGTAATGCTAAGTGATTGATTAAACTCTTTTACTATGTTACGTATAAAAGTTATTGATACAGTCATGTAGCAGCGTGTCATGTTAACGCCTTAGGATTGAAGCTACCTCACCCTACCTATGGCTTAAAATCGTTGACGCCTCTAAGTCCTGGAAGCGAATTCTTGCGCATGCAATGCTAAACAGAACGAACTATCGCAACAGGATCTAGATTTAATCCGGTTTTTTCTCTTACATTTGGTCATATACAAGTTTATCCATTCGTGCAGTGAGCCTTTTCCAAGCTTTGTCCAATAACACGAATTATGTTTACCAGCCCCGTAAAAAGTCGAAGCTTTGTGATGGCCTAACAACTAATTTTTTTACGATGGTATGATTATGTAAGGAGCATTATTTGTACACAAATGGAAGACTACTTTGCACGTTTAGGTGGTGTGGATTAAATAGCGCCAAGGTATGGATTGAACTGACGAATATAAGCCCATCATAAAAGCGTAAGGTGCATCGCTCGTACTGATTGGTTGAGTCCACCAACCAATCGCTAGCTGCCTGCAGTTGTCCAATTTATGGGGCTCGATTTTCGAGGATCGAAGGTAAGTGTAAGTGTGAACTTACTTGCCAAGGCCAGCTATGCGGCTTGGCCTCACGACCGCCTAGAATCTTGGATAAAACACCGCGTTTGCTCTTAAAATTTGGTCGCTTTCCACAGGTGTCTGATAATTCGTTCAAAATTTTTGAAGGGGCTAAAAAATGAGGATGGGAAAAGTTAGGCATCTAATGCGTATGAAAATTTAAACTTCTTTACATTGAACGCAAAAGTATGTTTAGGTGTGGGCTCATCATTACTGCCTTCTCTGAGAACATCGTGTCAGAGACAATGGCCTCTAATTTCTCACTACGTTCTGGCTGTCTTTCCTTTCTACTAAAATCATTTGATACTGCTTCACTAGCGAACTGCTTCAATTTTAATTCAGGTTGGATAATTCAACAACAACAATGTCAACGAACTTCATTTGTGGAAAGACGAGTTGTTTAAGTGAGCAAAAATGATTAATTAAATGTATTCTGAAAGGGACTCTAACAGCTTTTCACACAACAAAGAACAAAAAATGCAAGAAAGCACAAGCACTGAATAAGCATTCACATATCCTAAAGACTGTATCGTTCTTAAAAGCAGCTATTCGTCTCTAATCGCCTCCAAACCTCTCCTTCTACTTGACAGTGTTTCCCGCCTTGAAAGTTCTTTTCAAAAAGATTATTTTAAGGTAAAAAATGTGGTTTGGCCAACTATAGCAGTTAGAATTAATGACAAGCATTGACAACTACACACAGATTTGAGGCCGGGACATCGGCTAACCTCCTTCAAAGGTTGAATGGTTATTGAGGTCAAAATGGCGAGGGTGCCATCGCTTCACCCGAAAACGGCGGCAGTTGACCTTTAATATTTTACTCTCCGTTTTGGTGGAAAGAAACGTTAACGCAATTTAAGGCTTGACACTGACACTAATTTTGCGGTACATTGCTACGTGTAGACAATTAGAGTAAAACTTAAGGCAAAGTTTTACGTCCCTTCGCTTTAGTACAAACAGTGGAGATGCTGCTGAGATGAGTTGATGTTCCAGCCAGTACAGGATCCACTGGCATCAGTCGAAGTCTGTTGGCTCCGATGGATATCGGAGGAAAGATCCAGAGACAATCATGAATAGTCATATAGGCGTACTAACTCACCATCTTTATGACACTCAGAATCATTGACACACCTTCTTGTCTCCACAATATACTGGAAGGGGCAGTTATTTGTTCGGAAGAGATTTGGAATGGGATTTTCGTAGGAGTCGTTCATACACTGACGATATCTCAGCTCTGTGCAGTCCCTTGTAGAACAATTGCTCCACTTTGACCAGGGGGTGTATAACTCAGCCCTGAAGATAAATATCTTCCTTCGCAGCACCAGAGTGCCTCGATCCATCGAATAGTGCACAAATAACTTGTTTTGGCTCGGTTTTGGAGTTGGCGAAAGAAGAAAAGACGACGCATTTGAGGGATTCCCTTGCACCATCGAGAGGTAGATCAACAAGGGGAGAACGCACAATCTCACTGTCCACACCATTGTCCCAGCGGACTAACATAAAGTGACTACCATACAGACACGAACCGATCTTATATGTGTTTGTGTTTGTGTGCTCTGCGTGCGTCCTCGTGTGCATGTGCGACCGTCATTGCGGGTAGCATAAACAGTGGACGTTCAAGCGTTGGGAGTAAACACTTGACTCCATTCACTATGCGCTGCCTTAACTGCGAGGGATCAGTTGCTGCATCGGCTGATAAGTGAAACACGAACTCACTTTGCACGTGATGATGCGATTTATTCGCATCAGATGGCATGGTGCATGTGTGACGCGTTGGTTGTCATTTGGGGATGGTAATTGAACTGCTGAATATAAGCAGCTGAGGTTGGTGCCGCCTGTAGTCATGGCGTGACCATTCCATTAACTTCCACTAGACACCCTCGAATATGATCCACCGATCCTCGTCTGTGTCCAAAGTTTGGCGGCTGATTCCATGGTAAATTGTCACTGAATTGAAAGTTCAGACAATCAGCCACGTTGAGGATTCGCCACAATGTAGTCAAAGCTAAACTTTTAGACAACATCGACAGTAATTTGAACTTATTCAATCCCAAAGGCAGTCCTGATGGCGCGCACAATACAATTTATGTGACTGTGGCAAGACTAGTGAGTAAGATGACTTCCCTTTATCAATCAGAGACTACCAACATGATGGAAGACCTTTGATGGTTAATGGTGGGTTAAGGGAGGATGTTTGAAAGAACGCTTTACTAGGGTTTTAAGGCCCTCAATTGCATTTTTTCCATCGTTGAATAATATGCATTGATAGGTAACAATGAGGCTGATTAACCTTACTCCGACAGTGCAGAAGTATCGGCGATCAGAGCAAGTAGTCGCCAATCATGCATAATACTAATCCCTTCCCTACCACCTAGCGATGCAAACTGGCTCGGAGATCAGCTAATGGTCCAGATGAAATTTTACCTGGAAAAATTAACGGAGACCATGGGATTCCGCAGTCCATAAAATGGACACCTGGAGACGCTTGCTTGCTCGAGGAGATACAAATGAAAGTTGCTCTAGTTGGCGTCATTTGCCTCCTTGATTAGCTAAATCGAGTGAACCATATTGAAGTAGAAAGAAGTGAAAAAGGGACTTCAGAGGGAGAATTCGTCAGTTTTGCGATTTAATAATAATGAAAAGACATCTGCTGAAACGATAAATGGGTGTCACTTAAGAAGTTTAGCTATCTTAGTTCCTCTGTTGCATTGCCCAACTCTGTGACCACTGCAGAAGAGCATCAAGTGTAGGTGTATTGATTGTACAGCTGTCAAGTCATCACGCCAACAAACTGAGATACACTTGCCGTAAAGTATTTCATGGGATAGCCTCATTCACCAACACGTTATTCTACGGAGAAAAAAAGTTGCTTTCTTTGTGATATGATACGATATGATTAATTGTCTCATTACTATTGTCAAATTTCTCTAACGATTTTAAAATCTCACTTCTTACAATGCCACTGGTGATAAAGAAGACAATGCATTATTGTACGCACAAAACAATGGGTAATTGAATCAAGTTATTAGGACATCAATGATAGCACCACGACATTCCCACAAGGGACAAGGACCAACAAGACGCTATGTGAGTAAACAAAGAATTTCCGTAATCGGAGTAAAGTAAAATGCGTGAGAACTCTATAGCTTGCCTTTGACGCAAATGCCTAATTGCTATCGGCGTGGCCATTAAGATAAACAATAAGAGGAAAATAGTTCAGTTGATGAAAAGTGGAAATCGAATGCATTGACAACAATTTCACCCAGCAATAAGAAGGTTTTAAAGAAGAATAAGGATGATACTGTAATGCAGAGGACATAAGAGCAAACTTGTACTCCGAGCATGGTTGTCTCTCTACTACAGTGTGTTGATTACAATCTCCACGTGCGTAAACGAATTATATCAGCGATTTGGACAACGAGAGTACCGGGTTGTAGCCACAAAGGACGCACAGCGTGCTTCTTCTCGAAAAGTTATTGCAACACTTTGTTTGTGTGACCCTCTGATGCCTTGTGGTCACTTTAAGATTTCCTTTGTTCTTGTACGCCTCGGCTGGCCTTCAGTCTAAGCTCAAGCGTAATCGCCTTGCACGCCTTAACATAAATGTATTCTGCTCAGCGGGAAGTCTCGTAAACGCTACAGCTTTGGCCAGTAATTTTTCTAATGAAGCCAAGTGAAGCAATCCCGGTATATATCACTAAAAATGAACTGGTCTATTCATTATAAACGAATTTTTAAGTGCTAATTTGGTCTTTAAGGCTAGCATAAGTAAGCAATAAAAGCAATAAAATTTATTTTCGTTTCATTTTTACTTTTATGTGTAGAACTGTAAAATGCTTAGGGGGTTTTTTAAAATGGGACTTTAATAGCGATCATTGACTTGCCGTGGCTTAGATATGTTTATTATAGTGTTGGTTAAAATGAATTGTCATCAGTTCTGTCAATGACCTTTAAGTGGCAGTATTTTGCTTGTATGCGCTGTTCCATTGGCGCGTTGGGCAAGTGTGTTTTGCGGATTGTCGTTTTGGCTATCAGGGGCATGATTTGTACAGGAGAAGTATCAGCCTCATTGTTCACATCATATGTTTCACCTAATGCTCGCCTTAATAAAAATCCACTTTTTGGGTGATATGTGCCTTTGCTTCTACATCATTCTAAATATACTTGTGCCAAACTAATATTATGGAGTCTTTGGCTAGTGTACTGACTATTCCTAAACTTGGGCGCGTTAACCCGGTTCCGCACTTATTTTTAAATTCGACTTTTCTGCATTCATTGTATTTCACATTTGGAGCTGATTTGGCCCATAGTTTTGGATCCTAATACACAGAAACGCCTTTGCTAAAGGTATAAATGGGAAATCTTCGCAAGAATAACCAAAAAGGACTTCTTCCACCAGTATCGCGAAGGTGAGGGAAATGTCTTTGACCTCACTATTTGAAACGCTGCGCTTGATACTATGCTACCGTCGTTTCCTCGGCATTGCCTTCTAGGGCATCGGACGGGTCCACAGTCCTTTCCAAGGGTGGTATTGAGCCAATCCGACATATTCTTTTTCCTCCTATCCCCGTCTACGGCGCTGTGAACTTTCACCTGACAAAATTTGCTTTCTCTGTGGTGGCTGTTTTATTGCAGTATCTCAACATGTATCGCACTGTTTGGTGGCTTTCTCGACCATGGACTAAGTATCCCGTGGTGAGTTTTCTTTTACTATGTTTGCGAACGCGACTAGAATTGACGTCATTCTTTTCGTAACTTTGAGATGTCCCAATTATTGAGTGTTTTAGCAGTCGATTACTCACTTATTTCGGACATTGAATTAGAGCTCATATCACCCCCTATGCATAGCCGCCATCCATTCGTTCTAAACGAGGTGCTTATTGTTATTCCCTCCTGCCTCTTCGATTCCTCCCGATTCGATGATTCAATTGGATCTTAACTTTTTGCTTTTGAGCTTGAAGCCAGTGTATCTTGCTTCAATGTATTTTCAACCCTGCTTATTCGCGTGGAACCGTCAGCCTGCTGTTTACCGTCCTAAACATTTCATTTACAATGTTGCATTGCAATTTTGTCTTCGCTATTTTTAGGCTTCAAATGCATTTTTTCAGATTAAGTTTCTTGGAATATGAGGAGTTGGAACCGTGGCTTCTGGCATTTAGATGTTTGATCAAGTTAGTGGCCTTCAAATCCTACTTACTGATATTTTTGCCGCCAGCATTCCAGGTGTGCTTCCTTTGCGGCTTTGAGTTTTGTTCATTTTTGCGATGATGAATTCAGCGTACTGCTGGTCTAGTGGCGGTAGCACTTATATAGTGCTAAAATGTATTTGAATTGGCTAAGAAAATAAGCATTAATAAGCACTGAACGTTTGAAGGCGTTGATCAATTTATTACAGTTTTCTCTGTCTTTGTCTTAGGATATTGACAGCATCGACTACTACCTCTTGTCGTACATTCTACTGATGTTCATCATTCCACCTGCCTACGAAGCCTTTCAGCATGTGAGTCGGCTTTTTCCGGGTGACAGTAGATCTATTGCTCGTTGCAATGACTCCGTTATCCGAAATTTGACATTTCCAAAAAGTGCCAATATTTATTCCGTTATTTTAAGCACTGACTGGAGCTCGATTTCTTTCCTTTGGTTGCGGAACCTTACATAAATTGTACTTCGTGGTAGGGTTGTGCTCTTGTGGTGGTACATTTTAGAGATGTACGAAGTTCTTTAACGACAGTCGCATAGTTTGCTTGCATCATTATTAACAACTCTTCGCTATTTTATTGACTTATTACTTTTTCGGTAATATAGCTCTACTGGAGATCTGTCACACCTCTGCGCTGTTTAAATTGCGTTCTTGTGGGATTTTTGGGACTTACTCTATGGTGCGGTCTCCAATTTCACATGGTAACACGTATCAGGTATGATTTCTGCATCTTTCCACATCAGTACCTGGGTGTTCTTCTAGTTGTCTATCAGTAAGTTTTTTGTCGGGAAAAGAATTTCTTCCTGCTTTCACGAATCCGGTAAAGTCGAACTTTGCCTCCTTCAGACCAATTATTTTCGTCATAGTCTACTACTATGAGCCAGTGAAACAGATGCTCCATGTAATCGTGGAGAAAACTAGGTCGGTCAATCCTCGAGAGTTCATTCACTCGATTCATTCACAACTAAAGCTTTTCTATCAGGCTCTCAGGTTACGAAAAGTCTTCCAGGTGAGTTGTTTACGCCTGAATCCCACCAACCCAAACCTAACTTCAGCGCACACTACATTAATATTTCTCTTTTGACGGTTTTAAGTTCCTTCGGCAGTATTTTGCTCCAAGTGCCCCACGTTGCAAGGTGGGCAGTTCACAGACAACTCGCGTTCCACGCTACTGTCACTTCCTGCCACTTCGTTATGCCACGGTTCTACCATCGCTTTCCAGCAATGTTCACCCTGGCACAGCTGTTACTTTCTATACTCTTCGTCCTCCACATCGGCAACAGTTGGTAGCACTAAAGCACAATTGCGTTCGATGCTCACCTAACTCTGCAGCCAATATGGAAACTGCGGCACAGACAGTGCGAGAGGAGGCGGAGATGCTATGTGCAGATTTCAATGCGCGCTTAATGGATACCATAGCGGGTTCGGCTGTAGCTACCTTCTATGCTACCATCCTGCCTTGCTTCTTCATCAGGGTGAGTGGTACCTACTCCTTACTTCCGGTTGTGTAGCTTGGGGCATCGTCTCAAGTTTAAAGACGGTAGGTCATTTGAGTCCTTTTGATGGTTTCAGCACAATGGGCTCTGCCTCCTCCTTTTTTGGACTTTTGGAATTTTTACCATTTGATTTCTTCTTTGCCTTCTTCTTTAAATTAATTGTTAAAACGGGCACTCATTTGGCACATTTTGCTGGAATATATTTCAGTAAAGTGACTGCTTGCGGCCCCTTTTTGGTACCAGAATAGAGGCGTGTTTGGCTTCATTGAGGTGCTTCAATTATTGTCCCATGTGTACAGTTGATTTGTTTACACATTGCCTGCTTATATCTTCGGTGAAATGGTGACTTGTGAAGTTTTGATGCCTTATTGTTTGAGTCAGATCTGACCGATTTGTTGGCTTCAAATGCCTGGACATTTTCCTCTATTGAGTTTTTCACCAAAATATGGTCGCGCTACTTTTTTTTATCAGTAACATGTATATGACATTTATCTAAATCTATCCACACTTAGTAGTGGTCAGTCGATTTAGGCCAGCGGTTGAGTGCAGAAACAACTGCTTGTGGATGCTGGTCAAGCGGACTAGTCTTTTTTTTAAATGACCGCTTTTGGAAGATGTTTCTTTCAGCGAAATGGCTATTCTTCCGGTTTTACTCCTAGGCATCTCTGCATCTAGCTCCCACTCTAAAGGAGGGAATTTTGTTTGGGGCGTTATTTTAAGCTCTTATTGCTGTCGAGACTAGCTGGCAACCATTATGCGGAGAGGTGTGTAAAGGATGATAATAACGGAAATGAGACAATATCTTTCTTCCTCTCCCATTTTGATTTTCAAATTTGACCAATTTGGATTTCACATGTGGTCTTGCGTGGGTTTCCTGATTTTTCCAAGAACTGTTTCGCCTGCCCAACTTGGAGTCTAGTAGAATCAGGAGGACGCACTTTGGTCCTAGCTTTTTTGTTTCTTAGGAATCAATTCGTCGTGAATATTTTGGTCTACATTTCACCAAACACGGTGAAACGAAACGATGAATCTGTTCTTTACTCATACAGTTCGTTCCAAGATAGTCACAGAGGTTCATTCGGATAAGGTGCATAAAATATTTGAACATGGAAAGGCCCCATTTGCTTAGCGTACCGTCCGCATTACTCCCTTCGACGGCGAACTACTCCATAACTTCCTTTGCATCAAGTATCACGTTTCATTATCCAACGCTTTCAAAGTAGTAGCGAGATTTCCCTTGATCACGAAGGGGAATCCCAGAACATAGGTAGCATGTTCTTAAAAGGCTCCACAGCGAGTTCGATTTGAGGTGTCTGGAGCGTTGGAATCAAGCGTGAGTTTAAGAGGCAGCTACGATGAAATTACATCAACCGGATATTCTTAAGTAATCAGGAAAGAGGAGGGAATTCGGATGGTACAACCAGTGGTGTTGCGAACCGCAAAAGATTGGTCCATTGTGCCAGATCTGGAAGTATCGCGACTCTTTCAGTCTTCAGTTTAACGTCTGCTTGGTAGTGTAACTCAATGGGGAGTTTAATCTTCTTAGAACACGGAGGAATTCCATTCATTTTAAATGAATTAAGGTGAGTAGGTTCTCTATATTAGTGCTATAAAGAGTGGTGGCTTATATCCGCACAGTTTCAAACGGAAATTAGCCATGATTAAGCCCTTGACTGGACTTAATATGTCTCAAGCATTATCAGTTGTTATTTATGGTGGGCAGAAAAAGAGGCTCGCCTAAATCCGGAAATACTACTGGGCGTGGTTCATTCTTTAACTAAGGGGACAAAAAATGGACAAATTGTTTTAGGCCGTTGGAATTGGCTTAACTGCTAGTTTCTAGCGATTGATATCGTTATGGAGCATTGTCTTTTGGCATCGTGTAAGTAGGTCTTTGTTTTACGAAAGATGATTTAGTCTAGCTCAAATTGCTTCCGTACTTTTGGGAACGATAATGCTTATTTCTCTCCCATTAAACTGTGCCTCTTTGAGTTCCCCTGAACCCTTAATAGGGTCCACAAACATGCAGGCAAAGTTGTTCATTGTTGGTGCAAAGGAAGAGCAAGCTGCAGGCTTGGTTGCAGGCTTTGGTAGAGTATTGGAAAACTTCGGTGTCTTCAACAAGATGTCTCCTTTTGGACCCTCTGAAGTTTACTCTTTATGATCAATATTGGAATGCTGCAGCACCTCTTGAAATTGGGGTTTTCACTTTTGATCAGCCAAAAGGTACTCCCTAAGGGTGCTGATCACTGCTATTCTACCAGGACCAAATCAGGCTGACACTAAACGCACAAAAGCGAAATCACCCTCTCTCATCCGCTGTCAACGGATAATTACGCCAAACGAAGGCATTTGTTTTGGTCTGTTTCCCGTTTACTTGGGTAGCGTCACCAAAAATCGTGCACGGGTCGCGAATATTGCTGGAGGCTAAAGGGTCTTGGGTAGTTATGCCTACACCAGCTGGTTTTTGTATAAGTATATGCGCTAGTTAACATTTGAGAGCGTTAAACCCATTTTCTAAAATGTGGAGGGAGAGGAGCATTTTTTGGGCGTATCACTCACAAGAAGGCGATTAAGAGAACGCCCAAAGGAACCTCCCTGAAAAGGCGTGTCCCAAACTGGTTACTATAAAGCGTCACACATCAAGTTTTTCTGCGTCTTTGCCCCCTCTGTTGGACTCAATTCTGGGCTTACTAAGTAACTTCATTGAAGTTTTTAAAAATTAATGGATAATTCCCAGTTTCATGTCTATGAGAAAAGGTAGGCTGCAGCATTTTTCGATTCAATTGGTTGCTACATCTTTTTCCACATCGTGCTTAAAAGTTTTGAAAAATTTACGGAGTGGATAGTTGAGGTGAAAGTTGGTAATGAAATTCTCGGCATCCTGTGAATGGACATCATTGATCTACTGCTTAATGCTACTTATTTATGCTTTTCTTGGTTTGAGTATAGCCCCCTGGGCTGAGCGTGGATCTGGTGTGGTGCATGGGCCACGCCCTGCTGAGTGGTGTGACCTTCTTTCTGCTGCACTGGCAGTATCTCCTTCCTCCAGCCTACCTTGATCTTCTCCATCGCTGTGCCCTCCATCTGGGCAGTTGGCAGGAGCTCTCGCCCACTGCTCACTCTGGCTACCTCAATTGGCAGGCCTGGTCACAGCTGCAGGTATGTGCTTTCCTCTTTTATCTGCTCCGATCCCCATCTAGTCAGTCTTCAAATGGCAGGCTTTATCGTAGCTCTGGGTGTCATTTCTCGTTCCTCATTTGATGGACATACTCATAGTCTTGTGTCTGTTTCCTGTTTTTCAACTGTGGTGAGAGTACCCTGAAGGTACATCTACATCTTTTTTTTAACTTTTCTAAATAACTAAGCTTGGTTCTCGATTTCCACGTCAGTACTGCTGAAGTGGTCTAATTAAGTGGAGTTCAATATTGCTTAGGTTTACCCTATCTTCAAAACATGATAGACCATTTTTTGAAGAATCACGAAATTCGAGAACCTGTAATTACGAGAGTTCACTTTCTTGGGCGATTCTCCCACTGACTGGCTTGTGGTTCGAATTTTTTTTACCGAAGTTTTTCAAACAAAAAGAGACATTATTAGCTATTCTCAAACGATCCATTTAGTGCCCATCCTAATAGCATCATTAGCATCCTCAGTCCCACAGGGCTGCGGTCACTTCGCCTAATTCGATGCGGAGGCAATTTACTCAAAATCAGGTGGAACGAAGTTCTGCTGTTGGCCTTTTAAGGAAGTCGACGGTTCTGTATCCCTTGGCAACCTCTGCACACGGAGGCAGAGGTACAGCCGCCTATCTTACCGCCTCTCTGCTATTCCTCCTTTTGACATCAGTCATGGCGAATAGTTGAAAATCCAGTATAAATCCTCTTTTTACGCGCTACTGCTATACCTAAAGAACCTCTATTTACGTAACTTCAAAAATCGTTGGTCCTTTAAAGTCGTTGAGAAATTCGGAGGTGAAGAGGAGTAGGGAGGCATGGACACCGTCGGAACGTTACACCGTGCTTTGTAGAATGTGGTATATTTTACTGCCTTTTTTGTCTTCTTTTCAAACATCACCCCCTGCAGACGTACGCAAAGGGCGTCCACGTAAAGCATGTTCGGGGACTATTCCAAGCCGTGGGCGCTTCCAATGCTGCCGAACCGGGTAATTCTTCGCATTCCAGACTCTTTGTAAGTCGACTTTTCTCTCAGATGGCTGGTGAGCCTTTAGATAGAGAGCGGTGAGGTTACATTAACTTTTTAGTTAGCATTTCACGACATCTAAAGGCTAAGTTTAATTATGAGATAAGTGTGCAAAAGTTTCGGCTCTTTTAATGCGATTTCCTTAGTTAATCTCTACTGCTCTAAAAAATGAGCAGCATGTGCGTAAGGCATTTGTGATGCGCACTTTACAAATTTTTCACACAGCTGGTTACCTTAATGTTGAGGTTGCAAGCGGTAGCATACATTTGTTCCTAGTTCTGGTTTGCCTCGCCTACGCTGGTGACCAATGGGTTATGCTACGCGGCGGTTGTAGTCTCTCTCGGCCAGATGTGTACATTGGAATGGACCTTTGAGTGGTACAAACTCCTCGGTCTGGCGGCAATGAGCCCCTTCGCGCTCCTTAACCTCTACCGTCTGTTGCGCAATCGCACTATCCTTTCATGGGTGTGGGAGGATGAGAAACCTCTGTACGAGACTACCCCTAGCTCTGTCACCTCACTCAGGGCTTAAACTACCTCCCTTTCTCCTTGTTACTGATTGGCTTCATTAGAATGAGTTGACTGTGTTGAGTGGGAATAATACGAAAGTAATGCAATGAGTCCAATCTTTTCTCCAAGTTGATTGAACTTCTCAGCTGTCAGATCAAATGTTGTTAATTCCCTCCCTCATGTTGAGTTCACTACGGTAGCTGATGCATCTATTTCCATCAAGCAGGCAATCAGTAGCATATTGAACTCGTAGAAGGGTAATGTGGTCCTCAGGAGCTGCTTCCAGATTGCACATCTTTGCGGGTATTCGATAGCTGAGATGTGGTAATCTGATCACTGAGGCGTCAGTCTGCGTATCGCTTAGGTCGTCGATCATCTGAATGAGTTGCAAACAGGTGAAGTGTCACGGTGATCAGTTGTCAACATCTCGCTTTGCCACTAATACGTCAAGTTTTTTATTTGCGTGCCGCTGCCAGGAGGCAGTTTGGCCACTTTTTGTAGCAAAATTAGCTGCTCCATCTGATGCTAGACAACACTCAGCAAGGAGAGTGCAGCTTGTCTGCTTCGGGCAAGACGGGGAATTAGCTTCCACTCATCCACCAAAGGAGAGTTGGTCATTTTAGTCACTCGCCGTTTAAAAAGACAACATGCATGTGTTAGACGTTGATAACAGAAGGCCTACAAGAAGGTCGGTCGGTTTAACCGCCAGTCAAGTGGCCAAATACATCAACGGCAGCTATGGCTCTACACGAAAGATCATTTCTGTCTTTCACCCTTACTGCCCGCGCCGGAAGGAGAACCTTGGGCCCTCACTTGGCTTGCTGCTTTCGTTGCCTCTTTTGTCTTGCTCGTTGGAAAAAGACTGCTGTTCCATTTCAATACCTGTGGTATCGGTTTGCGAAAAATTGAAATTCATGGCGTAGGCAAGTCTCCTGTGCTGAGGCTCTTGCACGCAGATTCATTAACCGCTAAAACGCCCCTTCCAAGGCACCGGTGTTGAAAAGAAAGATTAAAATAAACTGGCAGTTGCAGTAATTACAGGCAAGTTAATGTACGCGCAATGACCGTTTCCTTTTTGGCACTACAAATGACATCTCAGTACTGATGTCGCATTTACGCCGAGGTCGGTGATTCCGTCGCTGCCGAACCTCGCGTCAGGCTGTTGCCAAGCAACACCCTAAACAATTGACTCCTTAACTGGTGCATTTGCTCCACAAAGGGACGCATAACTAAGCTGAGTCAAGAAGACGATTAGGCAGCTTTTATTAACACAGTGAATCATTTAATGACTGTTTTAAATGAGCCCTTTACTCCTGTCACCGTAATTTGTGGGGTCGAAGAGGGTGGGTGAGGTCTCCTGCGACACCGCTCCACAGTGGCGGTTACTTTCGTCATCACTGATAGATACCTGCGAAGCGTGGTGAAATCGCATTTTTTTTCACTGCTAATCGTGTCACTTATTATGGCTGCTCCGCTCTCATCACTAGGGTAAATTTATGTGGCTCGAAATCACTTATTCACAACTATTGAAACCGGTTACTCTGGATCTCCGTTCGAGTGAATCTCTTGGAAGAAGAATAAGCTGTGTGATAGCAGTAAGGGCCCAGGAGAAGGTAGAAGCAACTTTCCAGATTGAGGAAGGGCGGAGGGCAGAGTTGCTACTCTTGGTTGGAACAGAGGTGGTTATATTGTGCACAGCAGTTGTGATGGTGCAACATTTCATTTACGTCCCATTAAATCAAATCGAGGCTTCGCCTCCAAACACGCTGAAAGGATGACGACACAGACATGCGTCAATCGGTTTGGTATTCTCTCTCGTGCTTGCAAACTGCCAAAGCATTTTTTACGCTACGCAATGACACGACTTGCATCAACTCACATTAAGAAAGATGGAAAAAGGAATTGGGTGGTGCCTCTATTTAACCACTTTAAAATGGTTTGTCAGTCGCCCTTCTGACCCGTAGTTGTGGATGCGGTTTGATGGTTTACGCGCTTGAGAGAAACAAAGGAAAGTGAATCTCTAGGTCCAACTCCCATTTAATACCTTTTTACCTCCCTCAGTTTCGTGTTTTCCTTTCTCCACTAAAATAGTCGCCACTATTTGTTTGTGGCAAGTTCCCTAAACTTCCCCTCCCTTCCGGTGAGCAGCAGACGGAGACAAATCATAACCCAGCAACGCCCAAAAACGGTAGACGCCCAGTCAACATCAACAGCACTGAGGTCGATCAAATTGGAATGAAGAGGATTGAGAATGAGGTGAAGATGAAAAATCCAACAATTGCTTACTTTTAAACTGGCTTGTGTTTTTCAAAAGTAAATCAAGTGACGAGTACAGAATACGGATTATTGGTGCATTGTAATCGGCAATGCTGTCGAGTATTGCAACTGTGATTTTAACTTATCTTTGCGATGAGATTAAGACGGTGCAGTCTTCTACCTTTTACCAGTAGACTAAGCGCCGTCTGAAGAGATTTGCTTAAAAAATTTAATTAATAATTAATTAATTAATTAATAATGTCCTCCAACTTGTGTCTGGTGCTATGCCGCTAAAATTACATTAAAACCATAACTCGGCACAGCTAATGACAAACTGGCGACACCATCGCTACTGAGTTTCTCTTGCACCAATGGACTCACAGGCGTCGGTGGGCAACTAATCAAATGATCGTTTATTCCATCTCAAGTCAATCGTGTGGTCAGTTGGGGTAGCCGCCATACTACCTCAGTAACTAAGCTATTTGTTAGTTCTTTGAACTTTCTGCCTTTTGTTGGTTGTATTCTTGCGGTCTATCTTGCCTAGCAGTTGCTGAGCTGCTCAGGTCCAACTATCAGGAGGAACATGCTGCAACTCTTGACCAAGACCGAAATGTTAAAAGGTTGTGTGGCAAACTACCGTTGTGTTTGCACGCATTGCCTTCGTTATGTTAAAAGAGAAACTCTTCAAATTAAAAATATGTTGTGACAAATTTAAACTCAAACGGTGTTGTAATAAACGGTTTTAGTTACAATGCGCACCATTAGAATTGCATTTTGGTGTTCCATTTAAGCCAGTCGTTCCTAGCCAGAAGGCGCGTTGCTTGCCCGTAGCCCAGCAACGCCCAAAACGCCTTGGCGACGCCCACTTTGAACAGAAGTTTTGCCAATGCACTGAGTGTTGCTAAGGTGACACAATTGAGGTTAAGGGTTTCTAAGGCATTGTTGCCCATCTTAGTGACGGAACTACATCTTCAACCTTGGGATTGGGTGTGAGTCATTGAAATTGAGGTTTGCAGTCTACCCATATCAAAGGCGCTGGAGTGGGTACATGTCAAGAGCCAAGTAACAGGGAAGGAGCAACTAATTCTACGCACTCAACTTAAAGTTTAAAAAGTGCTTATAAATGTAAAAATTTAATTTTATTGTAACTTGTCTTAGGGGCGGCGTATCATTTAAGGCGCATGGACACTTGTGCCACTCGGTTTTATTTTAGAAGAAGGTCGGGACACAAATATGGCGTTGCTTTGAAACTCACATATACGGTAGATTTGTGACAGGATATCTGCCAGTTTACCTGTAACTGGACATACAACACAGCCGGTTGTTGTTGGCTTCGCGAGACCCCGAAATCTTTCAACTATGGTTGACTGCACCGAATTACAAGTTCAGGTATGCCACTTATTAAACCAGATACATAATTTTATGATAAACTCAAATAAACAAAAGATTTCCTTAAGTTCAACGTCTTTCACTTACCGCTGACGGATGGAAACGGGTGATAAATAAGTGTGGGTCTCATGCCCTCCTCCCAACATTAGTATCACCGACTTTTTAGGTACTTAAATGTTTGGCTTTGATGCCATTGTTCAGCAGTTACTTTCGCCGATAAGATGTATTTAAAATAGAATACAAATTGCATCTGAATGTTAAAACTGCCTGCCCCAGATTTAAAGATGGTTTTGAAACTTATCGGTAAAATGTCTCACATTTATACAAACAGGATTTTGGAAGCTCTAACCCTATAGCAAATCATGAAAGCTGAAATGTTCTACAAGGAAGGTAATTAGGACAAATACGGCTCTTCAATCCATCACAATCGTAGTGGAGTGATTTGTTAACCATCTCTCGACACAAATTTCTAGACTTGGGTACCCTACAACACCCTCATAGGTGCCTCAAAGTCATATACATGTCAAATTTAACAGGAATTCACTAAAATCCGTCTCCATAGCATACCTCCGCTCTCACACGAGCATTGCAAAGGCGGATGAGCCAATGGAGCAGACGGTTGGCATTGCAAACGACGCGCGATCTGCGCGGGGACCAATGAGAGCTTTGCGTTCCGCAGTTGGGCGAACGAATGAGTGAGCAAGTGAGCCAAGCTCAAAGTGTAGGCGTTAGTTTAGGCAAATAAAAGGCGTTCCCTTCGCCGTCCCCACTGGCGTGGGCGTCTGCTGTAGCAGGTGAGTTGTGAAGCCGTGGATATGCACAGCAGATTCTTGGTGCTACTTTCTCCGTTTTACTGGTTGCAATACAACTATAAGCTTGGTTTCATTTTACTAAAAAATGATTAACCATCGAAAATTTCGGAAAGCAACAGCATCCTTACTCATTCTTTACTTCAAAGTCAGTACATTGGTGATTTTTTTCTCAAATAAATGATTTAAATGCATTCATGATCAGATTTTGCGAGAATAACTGTTCTATTTTTGTGAGTCAGAGTTTCCTACTCAAATCTCTTCCCTGACATTCCGGTAGCATCATAATCATTTGAGCGCATCCTTGTTTGTTGATAGTTCTTGTGTTAATAAACTCAAAAACCCCGCATCTCCAGAGTTGAGAACTGCATTTATTCTAGTTTTAATTTTCTCTGATGAATGTGGAATTCGCCTCATCATACACACAAACTCACGTCCTACACACAAGTAGACCAGGAATGGGCATATTCCCCCAAACGCAAGATCATTACCATTACCTAACAAATAAATTAGTTGGTCTATTTACATACAAAATTCTTACTTTTAAGAACTTATTTTCCTTTTGCAGACCCCCACCAGTCCCAAGAGGACGTGGTACTACACATGTTGGATCAAAACCGCCTTGAACAAGTGCAGACCTTTAACTCTACCATTCACCACCATCAAAGAGCTGTGACTTTGTACAAAGGTTGAAGAGATTGACTTTCAGATTTCCGTCCAACGCTTACCGAGTAACCAAAATCATATCCATTGGACATAAAAAACACAATTTGATGAATTTTCTTGTTGTGAATGTTTAGTAACAGCACCGTTCCCGCGTTGAGTCTTTCAACGCCAGTAACGAAGAATAAAGGGCCCTATATCGGGTTGTTTGTTTGTGTCCTTTCATCGTAGACCAAACAGCATGTTTTCTGACGTATCCTCCTCCAGAAATAAGCCCCATCTGCACAAACGGCTCTACTAATTTATACATAAGTAGCACATGTATTTACACATTCAGAGAGAGTAGGGCGCACAATAGTGACGGAGAACATGTGACAGATCGTTAGAAAGCCAATAAGTTGTGAATATTTACACCTGTTCAGAGAAGGCTTCGGTAACACGTCGATAAGCGAGATCGGCAGCGGCTGATTTGGCCAACCGGTAGGTACGTCCAACACCCACGTATCGACCGATCCCGGCCACACGCACCACAACTCGCATCTTCCCATCAGGGCGCACCATAGGCCTTCTAGAATTGGTAAATAATTTGTACTTCTAATTTGAAAGTCAGCAGAATTGTTTGCTAGGCAGAATGACCTATAACTGCAGTGCATGAGGTAAAGGAGAAAAGAAACCTACTCAAATTTGACGCGTTCTGGACATAGTTCAAGGAGACGGCGAACCGGCGACTTAGCTACACATGTAGAGTACCGCTCTGAAGAATAAAAAAGTACATAAAGGGTAGCCGATTGTTCCAACAGAAAAACTGAAAAGCAAATGGAGGAAGGCAACAGGCAGCCAGGTGAAGATGTAGGTGAAGAGGAAGGAGGGGACTGACTACCAGACGAACGCACCAATGCGCTCGCGCAGCAAAGGGAAGAAGACGCGCCAGAGAGTATTGAGACACAGGTCAGAGTCGAGGAAGACAGCCCCGGCTAGTGACTCAAAGACGTCCCCCAAGGCTTTTGGCACCTCCACCTCCTCGTTCGTCCGCTGTAAGGAATAATACATACACAACGCTAGACAGCGATTCATCTCTACAATTGATCTTTGAAGATGCCCTGTTCAGTTCATTTCAGGGACATGCATTGTATCTATGGCTTACCACTGAAAAGTAGGGAGAGATGCTGCTTATAAGCAAACCGAGCGAAATAATCAGGGATGGTAGTCGGTGCGCCATCTATACCCACCATTCGAATTAGCCACACAGCAATTTTATTCACACACCATCCGCTTCAATACGGCAATAAGGCTGCAACTGGAGCTAAACAGGCCCAATCTAAGTGGATGGGGGACAGCAAGGAAGAAAATACATAGGCATGGATAGAAATGCCATTTACACCGCCATAGTAGCCTGAATTACTAAGTTGCATGTGCTAATGGGAACCCGTGATTTGAATCGACAAACCTATAACTAGACGATAGAGGAAGTGAAGTTCACCATGATTCCCTGGTAAGGGAACCAACTACTCAAATACAGTACGATAAGAAAATATGCAGTAGACCACAAAACTCAAGTTAACTAAAGGGTTAGCAGAGCAATCTTCAACTTACTTCCCCTTCCGGCTGAGGCACGCCTGCTTCCTTGTTCTCTCGGCAAGCGTTGACCTCCTAAGAAGTATTATGAGGAAAAATGGAAGAAGCATACGTGAGAAATGAGAAGGAAAGTTGAAAACTTCACAAATTTAGCACCACTTTTGCGAACAAAAGTATTTAAGCGAAGAGTAATAGTAGGAAATAATGATGGATAATATTCCATCAGAAATAGCAAAAACTCCAGCGAATTAGCGTTAAAACAGCTGCAAAGAAGGTAAAAATGAATTCCACGGTGGAGAGATCGAGAGAGATTACCGGGGCGATGAGAACGTCGAGATCGCCATGAACGACGTCGTGGTGGTGACGCAGAAAAAGTGCCATCGTGCGAGTGAGAGGCGGAGCCGCGGCACGCAAAAAAGCATGCAATCCATGGCGTACAGCTAGCGCGCCGAAGACCACGTTGTTGACCAGCGCAGAGCGAAGATCGGTTAAGGCGCCGGGCGAGAGACGAGCAGTGGCGTCGGTGGTGAAGAGGAAGCGCGTTACTGCATAGTCTAATACTGCATCGCCTAGGAACTCCAAGCGCTCGTAGCCTCCGCTGATGCTAGCTACGCTGCCATGAAACCCGTCACCATCTGATGGAGGACCGTGCAGATCACGGCAAGTTGAGTGGGTGAAAGCCTGTGTGGGTGGAAGAGAGGTAGATAGTAGTTATTCCCGAATCCTTTTTCTGACGTAGTGCATAGTCAATCGCGAAAAAAATGTGTTTTCGATGGAAGGTTCAGAGTAGGGCACCAAAAACTGAATTTCCAATTCACTCACCTCAATAAGAAGTTTGCGATTTTTGAAAGTGTAGCCAATGATCTTCTCTAATTTAGAAAATCGGCCAGCGCAGTAAACCCTTTCAACAGCTGCTTCTTCAGCCTTTGATAGAGGCTTTTCTTGGGGCAATTTCCAAGGTGATCCTACTGGTCGGATCTCGTCTAAAATAAAAGAAAAGAAACGAAAAACTTGGACGCTGCCATATGGAATTAAGTTGAACACTTGTAGATGCAAAAGTTCATTTCGAGTCTATCCAAGAAAAGTGCTTTTGTTTGAGCTCAAACAAAGTATGCCCTAGACTACAAAGGGCTTAGCCACACTTACTGTTAATGGGTCTCAAGTAGAAGGCGACTTGAAATTGTTAAGGTCATCATGAAAGCCATGATGACTCTCGAGTTTACAAAAGACGATTTTCAAGTAGCAGTAGCAGACGAACCTGGAGATGGGAGACATTTGATGCCAAACCACTGGAGAAGCTTCAGGGCAGATCGCTCGCCCCGTTCAGTGAGATAGCAACCAACCAGCGATTCGACGCAGTCGGCAATGGACTTGTTGGTCAAGAATTGATGCGTCAACGAAGGATACTGACTCTTTATTCTAAAACGAGACAAAGTACACCAAGTTACTACTCTCAGCGGATGAGGAGAGACAAAGATTCGTTGGGTTCGAGGAAGTTTTAACCAAAAATGAAGAAAAAAGTCTGTCGCTGCCCTTGTCTAAATACGCAAAGCAACCGCTTCCAAGTGCTACGCAAAAACTCGTAAGGAGTGGAGGTAAACAACAACATATCCATTCCTTCACCAAAAAAGTTTAATTTTTAAAATTGGCACAAACAAGGGACTCATTTCTTGGATTTGCAAGTGGAAGAATTATCCGGATTCTGGAAGGCGCGACTTTAGGTTTTAAGAGCACAGGAGGGAAACAAATTGGAGAGAAATTGAGCTGGTAGTGCGGAACATTGCAGGTGTGAAATGGACACCAAAGATACATGATTACTACGCAAAATATACGACAACGAAGACAATGGGATTAAGAACGCTACTTTACCTGGTGGAGGCAGCATTAGCTGTGGGACCAGAAGCACAAACGTAGCACGGTGGCAACCAATTTTCGTGTGGTTCAAAAGCCGTCCCCACAATTCTTCCAGTCAGATCTTTCTCACATCCAAGCCGGTAGAGATTCGAATTGCCAACCTGCAAATGCATACAGTCAAAGCATGAACAACAAACAACTTACAATTTGGCTTCGCAATGAGCTGAGGTGACCTTCATGTGCTTCGGGATATCGCAAAAATAGATCCATGGTAACGGCGAACTTCAAAAAACTATCCCCAATCGTTTCCAACCTTTCCATATTGATAAAATCGCCTGCTCCCAACAGCGTCAGTGATTGTAAAATCATTGTAGGGCCGGGTTTATAAACTATCTGTCTCTATAAAAAAGAAATCAAGTCTACTCGAGTTCTAGAGGCAAGATTTACCTCGGCATCTTCTGTCTCATCATCATCATCAGGCGGAAAGAAACACAGACTTGTAGCGTTCTCCTCAAAACTGTCCACACTTTTTGCATCCACCTCTTCTTCTTCTTCCTCATCCCCCACTGGACTTGGTTTCTCCACTTCATCGAAATCCAATGCATCGGATTCCTGCAGAAGGGCATGGAAGTCGTTGATAGGGTTTCGAGGTTCGGAGTGGAGTGGGGGGGAAAGGGTCAGCTTGACGACTTCAGGCTCAGAGTCTTGATCGTCCGGATCCTCTTGTTTCCTAGAAGATGGCGGGGGTGATGGAGCTGGTGACGGCGACTGTGGCTGTGGTGTAAAGCTACAACGGAGGGGTGGAAAACAGAATCGATGTGGAGGCGTAATGACTCCCAACCCAGTCTCCCGCGCGATTTCCGAACGCAGTTCTTCCGCGAGCAGGAGGTGCTGTAGGCGGTAGAGAATACTGGGCAGACAGATCGCCTTTTGCCAAACTGAAGAAGGGAAAAGAGAAAGCAGAATTTCAAGGCGAGTACTATTAAAATGAGACATTTATTAGACTTAAGGCACTTCGGCTGTAGGTAATCATAAAGCAGTTAGTTAAAGACTGCTTAGTAGCGCCGAATCGATGGAGGTATCTTCTCACATAGCAACTTAAGCAGAAAATTCTGTAGTCTGAGTTCCAGTATTAATTTCTAAGCCACAATTGTCGGGAGTGCAGAATTCACAGTTGGGAGTTCAGCAGCTGAAAGTGACGAATTTGCAGGAATCGCAATGGTTGTAGACACCGACTTCTGTAATTGAGCCAAAAACATGCAACATGCCATTATGCCACTACTCATTTCGAGTCTGCCTCAAAAGCAGTGTTTAAAACTCAAGTTCCATAGTTCAAATGCATACATTTTCCAAACATTAATGAGAATTCAGAAACGCCCTTACCAGTGGCAGGCATCGCATGACGATGGCAGAACTCAGGTACTAGGAGTTGTATATGTCGCGGTAGGGTGTGCTTTGAACTCGAGTTTGCGTTAGCAGAGGCGCCGTCATTCGATTTTCGTTGCACAGCGCAGCCTCGCGGCACTAGAAGAGGAGCAAGGCGAAGAGGGGCATAGGCGGCGTCTAGCAGCGGCTGGTCCGACGGCGCTCCACTTAGATGTAGACCATATTTGCACGCATAGTAGTCTGCGAAGGTGGCGTACTGAGGTGAAGGGAAACTCGTGGCTGGAGACAGATCGTTTCTAGGAAGGAATACGCATGTATCACTCAATCCAACCTCCTGGAGTGAATCTATTTCCTAAGCTCTAGGTGACTTTGTACTGAATAGAAAACGATGTTCCATTTGGACTGGAATAATACTTACTCGTACACACCAGTATTCTCAAGGAATAAAAAGACAAGTCCAGTTGAGGTGAATGATCGAATCTACATGCCACCCGACTGTTTAGGGAGCGACGCAAAAAATTCAATGGTTAACGCATAACGATATTTCTTTGATTTATTAAGGAGAAATAGTGCTCATGCCGGCTTCTAGTAGTTGGAATAGACCCACGGTTTGGTAAAAATGTCAACACGAATTAGCTTTTCAACGAGCAAGGGAGAAGTCAAAAGCGTGGAGATTGCCCCTCACATTAGGCTAGCAAAACAACATACTGCACAAATGAATTGTCTGATAATCACCTAACTGGGTGGTAAAACGGCTGCTCAAACGGCTGAAGGGTAGCTTCAAATATGGACCAAGCTGGTCTTTAGCCTATACCGGCTCATGGAGCCTAGATTGTATGTAAGAAAAACGTCTCGGAGGCAAAATATAGGAAAGACTCACCTAATAGCAACAACGTAGTAGCGTGGCGGGTACTCCACGTTGCGGTAGGTCGGTGTGAGAACAGCATTAATAAAGTCGTTTGGTACAAAATGAAAGACAGTTCGGGAACTGACAGTTTGGGAAAGAAGTTGTGTCAGGGGCACTGGTTCAGTGGGAAGTCGTAATGGCGGAGCGGGTCGCCTACGAACCGGGAGTCGACAGTCACCAACTGAGGGAATATAAGAATTGAGACAGAGGTTTACGATATCCCAATCGATCTCCTGGACGTCTGAAAGAGGAATCACGATGGAAAGCGGTGACTCTTTTACCCAGCTGAACAGGGATGAAGCAAACAAACCGGTATGCACTAAGGATAAACTTAGAAGTCAGAAAAAACGACGGTCTTAAAGACATTTGAATCGGTCAGCATAATGGACTGGAAATGCAACAGATGCGACAAAGGATTTAGAAGGTTATCTGGCAAAAATGGTACAAAACATTAACTGATGACATAAACAAAGCAGTACCTTGTTTCACTGGCACAATAAGAAGTTGGCAGGGCGCATCAACCAAATTGAACTGCATCAAGCAGTCCTTTTCAAACCGCAATACCGACTACAAAGCAATACCAAATGAGAAAATTGTCGGCAAAACACCCTCACTCACCTTGAAAATGATCCTATGGAAACGTGAAAGTTTATTGAGTTGATCAATACCCAGAGGCGGACAGAAGGAGGTCTCGTAAATATGCACTGTTTCCTCACCGGAACGAGTAAATATTGAAAACTCGGGGATCTAAAATGAGAACCATGCACAATAAATACTAGTCACTAAAGGCAATAGGTAGCCGTTAAATTGTCCACTGACAAATGGAATAGGCTTTGTGGTGAGCATAGCAAAGCCCCGATTCTCTGCCTCAGGGAAAAAGTCAATGTGAGAGGAGGTGCCCTGGCTCCTTTGTTCCCGCTGCAAGCGACTCAGGGCGGTGTCAAGGTGACGAATATCGATAAGATAGAGACGATTCTGCCCCGTAAATCCCCTTTCCTCTCTAGCAAGACACTTGGTCAGTGCATCTGGGGTCTAAAATAAAACGGAGCGCTGTTAATTGTCGGCTTCTGTTTCAGTCACTTAGATGGTGACATTGCTTTAGCCGGATGGGCTAACTTCTACGCCATGTCATAAACTCCCATATCCCTCTCCCTTGTTAAATACATATGTTCCACTTGAATACTATGCCTTCTACTACCTTTAAGGAAGTCTCAAGATGCCATATTGAGCAATAAAGAAGCCTTCAATATGGATGGGTCAAGTAGAAAGGAAACCAAAGTATTACTGACCTTAATTAAGTAGCTCGATTTGTGCTTAGGTGGAGAACGTTCACGGGTAGTACGCAAACGTCGAGAGGCTGCAGCAACAGCAGCTATCGGTGTATGGCGAAGGATAGGGCGTCCGCGTACATCTATTTCTCGTGCTTCCATTAACAACTGGCCCACACGCACAGCTGCAGAGTACTTGGCCATCTTCTTGCACAGTGACCATTCACTCTGTGGACAGAAATCAAAATTAACCAGCCAACGGAGAGGTAATGAAGATGGGCCTCAGCACTGCATCACAGGTGATGCAAAATCCTAAGACTATATATCTGTACGGCGTCTCGCGATATCTCGCATCGGGTAAGGGGAATAGGGGAGATGGACCAATGTGACAGTAGTTAACAAAGATTCCAATGATCACTGAATCCGAACAAACTAAGTAGGTGCTCGAATGGTAAGAAAAACGCACCCAAATCACCCCACGGACGGGTGAGTTAATTGGCATTTGCAGAGCACAGCAGTAAACCATTGTGTTACCCCCGACAGCAGCGTGAGAAGGATCAGGACAGGTGAGAAGGGCTGTAGGATCCCCACCTTCTACTGCTCCGCTTGAGTTGCCTGCCAGGTGGCGCATAGTAAGGCGCCAACGCGGCGCCAAACGCGTCATAAAGTTGCAGGGCAGACGAGCACAGTAGTGGTTCACTACATCTATTGCTCGACAAGCTTTTTTCTATATCATAAAGGAAGTTCTTTTACTTTTTGGCAAACTATTTACTTTTCACAAAACCTTATGCAGATGCAATAGAGGATTCGGAAGGGGGACGCGGCTTATCCAGGATTTAGTAGAAGATAAAGCCAACGAGGGTGATAATGTTGGAATCATGAATTTTGATATTTATTAGCTTGGATGATACGTTTCCAACACGGATTTTTTTAAGGCAGTGTCTTTAACTCTCCGCCCGCCCCCAAGAACTGACCGCGGTTAGAGAGTGGTACAGCAAGAGAAAATACGCCTGACACTCTATTTTTCACCACTTACTTTGGGCAGAAAGGTAAACTTTTCATTAACGTAATCAGCATCCACGTCATGCTCATCAGCAATAAGATTAGAATTGCTGCACCGTTGGACCAACATTCGCTCCATTTCTTGAAAGCTAGAAGCGCAGAAAATCATGAAAGCATCTAAACGGAACGAATAGGGGGTGGGGAGGAGGAACGATTGAACCATTGCGCAATTTTCGGACAGGCTGTCTCAATCCTAATCTTAATACTTTTGCAACCAATGAGGAAGTGCCCATGGCAATGAACAGCATCCATTTATGCGACTTCAGGACACAACGAAAATCGCGCAATGTTTATTTACAATGGCATGAATGATAACGGCAACAACTATGGAAAAACCTCGGCGACTGTTATGCTACTGAAATGCTATTAGAAACTGTCACAAACCGATTCCGCAGAGATACTCCATCGGATCCCAAGAAGTGCCAGAAGTGGGCTTTTGTAGATTTAACTGCAACCAATCGTAAACGAGACTTTGCTGAGAGGTATGTGGCAAGGGAAGTGGATGGATGGAATAAAGCAATGAGATTGCAGCGTGGGAGAGAAGAGGCAGCTGCCAGGCCCGATTGGGTGGTCACGAGAAGGTTTACTTCACCACCACAACGAAAATTTGCCACTGTCTCTTCCTGTGCGCTGCCCACGTCCGTAGAGAGCGTCAGAGTTTTCAAGTGCTCTAAGTGAAAAATGTATCAATGCTACTTACTTCCTTGATCAGGCAATCAAGAGTAAAAAAAGCACTCATACGACGAGCTAATTCCTTGTTTTATGTAAATTTCCACAAATAATTGAAATTCCAGTAAGTTTAAAAGAATCCTAGATGGTTGATATGTCCACCTTCGAATACACTTGTGATCAGTGGGACGTATTTCAACTTCCTACACCTATCATTCACATGAAAAAAAATGCACAATCGGTTTAAAGAAGAATTCTCCTACCTTTCTCTTAAAGATAAGGCAAATAAGGAACATCTACTATGTAAATTCGCCTCCAAAAGTGAAGTAATGAGATTACTCACTAAAACTGTAAAAGTAGCCACGATAAACCAAGCACCAAGTCCAAGCATAATCCATGTTTCATAGTAGAGAATTTAATATGAGCCATGGCACGAAAAAGCGAAGATTTACTGGAGCAAAACCAGCCTCAATTTAGCTTACCAGAAGAGCCAGGCACAAAGAAGTAGCCAGGACGGACAAAGGCTATTTCGGGATCCCAATTGCAGTACTCTTCGATGAATCGGGGCAATGCGTAGGCGGAGAACTGACACCCACCTACTAGGAGAAGACCGCAGAGAGGAGGAACGGTATTCTCCTTATCAGGGTTATCAGGAAGTACGCGGTATACAAGGCGAGAGCCACCGCGACCGCCACGGATGATGGGAGAAGAGCCTTAGAGGGTGATGGGACAAATGAGCTCAAACAAAATGGTAAAAGGTGTGGTACAGACAAATCAACCTACGCGCTTTGGAAGGTCTACGACATGGTCTTCGAGTGGATTTACGTCGAATGCCGGAAGATAGACCCCTAGACGAGGAATAACTCATGAATAGAACGAGTGTTAGTCGTAGGCCTGCACTACTCAGAAGAGTAAAAAGTAAAACCATAGAGCATAGTATAGGAAGAAGGCAGGAAAGAAGTGATTCCGCCTTGGAACAAATATGCAAGCAAAAGGTGAGTTGTACAGGACCGGCACTAGCTATGGAGCATCGCTTCGTTATACGAAAGGAAATGGCTTCCCACGTAGGCAACGCTGTCAAAATCCTGGAGCAGCTCTATGTTCAATCTCCTTCAAAATTTATTCATAACCTGACAATAAGTTATCATGAATGGCATGGGCAGTAATTAAACGATGGTATCTAGTGAAAAGACACATCTATACCAGTCGAAAATTCCTACTGGTCAAGAAATGAAACACACAACACTTACATAGAGACATCAGTAGCGTCACTTTCTCCTCCACTTTCTACTTCATCGTTACCATTGACGCTATCCTTATCAGTACTGTCACCATTGCCGGTGCTTTCAATGTCATTATCATCTTCTGAGCAGATCGAGTCTATGCCTGAAAATGAAGAGTCCTCATAACCTTCACCGTACTCAGAACTCTCCTCATCGTCACCTGCACTCATGGCTTCAAATCCATGTGGGGCTATGAAGCCAGAAGAAGTAGATCTACCGCGTGGTTTGAATCGCCGTCCGCTGCTCCCCCAACTACCATGAGAGGCCACTCCGCCACTCACACCATCAGAATCTGAACCTGTGTCCTCACTGACACCTTCTGCCCTCCACACAGCTTCGATCCGGTAAGATCCTGTTGGTTTTAGTGTACGCAACCGATCCATCAATTGCAGAACTCTGGGCGATGCTAGGGCACGTATCTCCTCCCGCGTCATGCAACTACGGAAAAAGCAATTACCTATTATCTAATAAAGAAGTAACGGTTCACAATTCATCCTTTTAACTCACTTGTCGCAGACAGTTTGAAACAGTCGTGCAATCATTGATAGCTGAGTAGCCGTGTAGCGAAGGATGCGCGTCAGCAAGTCCTCTCCATGCTCAAGCTGTCTTCTAGCCTCCAAAATGCTTGCTCTAGCTCGCTCTAAACGATATAGGTGGCGCAAAAAGACCCGAGCGATGAGCGCCCCACAGTAGACACCCAATTCCTTCGTTATGGATTCACATTGTGCCACGGAACGGAAACAGTAGTATGGAACATTTATAACACGTTGTCCTGTAGTAGCAACATTCTCCTCTGATCCAGTGAAGTCTACGTCACTCAGAAAATCGCGAGCCTCTTTAAGAAGACACAGGACTGTTTCACGAATCGAATGCTGACCATCACCAGTATTTCCCGCAAGTGGGAGTGGAATCTCCTCTTCTTCTGGTTGAGCACCAAGGGAGAGGAGATTAATTAACTCCGAGGTGGTCTCCAGCCTACAACCCAAACGATCCTCCAACGAACAAATGTAGCGTTTGGCAAGGAGATGATCAGAACACCCGACTGGGAGGATAGTGGATGTTAACGCAAGAATTCGATAGCTTGGAGAGATGGATGAATAAAATGAGGGATCTCGGTTCCAAATCTCTTCAATTTGATGTTCGCTAAGGTGATCCTTTGAGTACGGAAATAGTCTCTGGTAGGGATGACCCGATGACAGAACGAGTTCACAGTTATCCAATATAAGAAGAAATGCCTGCTACAAGGTATACAGCATTAAAAGTCAAAGAATTCCCACCTCAGGAAGGGATAGGACAGGATTTTCACCACAGCATAAATCTCCAGCCGTTTCAGCAGACATAAAGACGACTTTGGTAGTGGTTGAAATGTCAGTGAGAGCATCAGAAACCACTTGGACGGGAGTGTCAGTAACATACTTAAAAGTGTCAGCTGCACTTTCAACTAGGCTGTCATCCGAAATGATAACGACCATACATTTCCCAGGATATTTGATAGCCATGTCTCCAAAGAGCGTTTGAGCCAGGAACTGGAGTGTAACATCCTCATCTGTGCATATGATTGTGTTTCGCGTCTCTGCTGAATCCAACAAATCAAGCTAATAAAAAAACATATAGTTTGCAATAAAATCCACAACTATTAGTGTCGGATAAGCTATTAAAATGCTCACGTAGTAGGGTCGAGGCATAAAGTGATTTGGAGGAACATTTTCAAGAATTTTCCGAACAATTAGATGCTTTCGCGGCATCAGAAATCAAAAGAGCAATATATTACCAAAGTTTTCTCCAAAAAAATGTTGAATAAAGATATTTTAGAGACCAGTTGACCACTTGTAGAAGCAAATTTTACACACGCATATCAGTACGTTGCAATCGACGCTTTTGTGGGGACCAAATAAAACAAACATAACAAATAGACATATGCAAAGACCAGAACAAAAAATGCAAATGAACTGTATAATCTAAGTCCACGCAAAAATTCACTTTGTTTTGACATTGATCGATACCAGCTTAATTGCATTGTAAGTGATGTGTTTAAAACTTTTCATGCATAATAGTCTAGTTAGAGCAACAATGCACAACTTTAGACCACACATCAAATATCATAATGTACAAAAATGTGTTTAGAGTTTTGGACTTTTTAGTCTGTAAAAGAAGTAGTAACAGCAGTTGGATACATGTATTACAAAGACGTCATGTGGTCACACAGCCAAAGCATTATACTGCTCCTTTTTTCTTATGAGCAGCGTCCTCAGTGCTCTCCTTTGGTAATCTCCAGCACCAGCCATCACAACATATTCATTACTACATGAAAGTACCCACGTGCCCACAGCGCCAGTCAACAGATAGCATCAGACTGAGGAGGCGTACCTGGTCCCCTCGGCAGCTTCAACTGAACCTGGAGTTACATTCAGTCTGACAACCAGATTCGGAGCCGCATACACCTGTTTACCATCAATTGCTTCCAGGAATTGGTGGCAGAACTCTGGTCTACAACAGATATGATACAGAAAAAACGGGATGAGCCACTGTCCCGTAGTGTCATTTCTGGCAACTATACACGGATTTTGTATGGGAAGCTCTGACACGAAACACGGCGGTGTCACTTAAGTTGTTAATAGCTTGTCTGGAACACGGGAATAGTATAAAACCAAATGCAGACGTCAGTAGAGATTCTCCGTCATTAAGGTAAATGCGTCTCCATCAATTCATGTCCCGTTTGCCTGCGCCTTCAATTATTGCACTTCGATCAGTCAAAATTCTTCTACGCATGTATAGATCATGATTACTGGTGCACAAGCCGAAATGCGCTTATTAATCTTGGGTTTCTCCACCAAATATAGAATTCCTTTGCAGCCCTGTCTGCCGGTTGTACTACAAAATTCTTGTCGTGAAAAAAGGGCTTCGAATTTCCAACCAAAGAAAAACGGATTATCAGGTTCGTAGGTATTCAAACCCAGAGCATCAAGCGACACACATCTCCGTATCCTGTGCTATTTGTAGGTACTGAAGCATTGCATCATCCGATCGAACCATTGCTTGTCGGTTTGTTCGTACTGTTCTTTTCCGGATGTCAGTCATTTAATTGTCAAAGTTTGGCAACGCAAACTTTGAGTGCCAATAAGACAGCGGTGTCTATTAGGAAATAGATTTTTTTCGAACAATGTGTCGCCTTTAACAAACAACCAACAAAGAACAAAGAGAGACCCCAACTCGGCAGCAGCAGGTCTCCAAAACTACTTAAGACCTTAAAATTCGTTCAAAAAGTTGTCAAGTTTGCCTTTTGCTGCCATAAATGTAGCATCCCAAGACTTCCTGGTCGGTGATGAGAAGTCAGTAAGTGTAGGTGGATGCACGTATCCCGAGGACGACAATGCAAATGAGCTTGGGCATGGTCCGAAGGCCAGCCCACGTATACAAGGACCTAACAAACTTTAAAGTGACCGCCATACACCTTTTTCACCTTATGAAGAGTCTGAAGGTGCTGCACCATGCAACACCCCTTCTTTGTTTTACCATACATGGAGGCACGATATACGTCGCCTCAATAATTATATGGCTCTTTAAATAAAGCTTGTTGCGTACTATTTAAAATTTATTTTATTAAAATACTTTATCGGTTAAGAGCTGCAGCAAAACACTTCCGTTGGTCATTATTTTAGCAAAGGTTTTATGGAATACAAGCGCAAACATTACGTTAATGTGTTTTCCAAAAAAATTGGCTTCACTTGTATAATAAAATAAATTTTAAATTATAAGCTAAAGGTAATATTGTTTGACATAGTAAGAAGTCTGGTAAACTACAAGCCTCATTTGATATTTCAAACTGACAAATAGCCTTGACGCGGTGGCAACGCCGCCCGCCCATTACGAGAGGATCGAACTGTCCCTGTAGCTGCAACAATAATTGGTGGTAAGCGCGGTCATAATGCTACACACTATAAATCAAGTGAAGTACGATATTTTAAGCATCTTAAGTTGTCCAAAACACTGCGCTTTCTTAGGCTGCACTGGCAAAATCTTTTTAATTACCCAACAGTTAAAAACATGCTATATCGAAAGAACGTGGGAAATAAAAACTCGGCAGGTTGCTTGAAATTATAATGTGATCGACCTAACTGTAGTCTTTACAATGTTAGCACTTATCAATTTATTTACTGTGCACTTTATAAAATTGGTTTTATTTTGACAAAAAGCACTCAGAATCGGACTTGTTGTTAGAGCCTTAAATGCCAAACACGTGCCTGAGCCAGTATGCCATTATAGTAAATGACATATTGGTTGAAATACTGTTGAACTTAAATTCTGAAGAGTCTATGTTATTCTAAAATATACATTTTAAATTCTTTGCAGAATGAATAAATACACACGAAAACTTTATTTCGACCACGAGGAAGATCGAGACAAGGGGCCTAGCATTAACTCCGATGACCTTGAGGAACGAATAGCAGCTCGACAGCTTCGAATCGCAGAAAGATTAGCTTCTTTACGGTTAGGCCCTAGATACATCCTTAATGTGCTGTCTCAATCTGTCATTGGATTAATTCCCTTGTTACTTTCTCAGCCCCGACTACTTTGATGAGAAGGCATCAACTGAGGAGAAAGCAGGCGTATTAGCTCCCTCAAATCCATTAGCCAATGCGCAGGTGGCGTTAAGTGCTCAACGAATTGTTAATCTTTGTCGGAATGGGAACGCCTTTATTACAAATCTCAAGGTTGCTTGTGACGCACGCGAAAATCTACGCCGTGTGGAGGAGGAGGAGCTTGACGACGTTCGACAGGCCAAACTTGATGCGGAACAAAAGGCAGTAACAAAGTTGTTTGAAGATGTGTGTCTTCTTGTGCCTGTTTAACGTTTATTCTACCCTTTATATTTCACTCTTTTCATAACTGTCCAATCATAGGTTGAAGAAAAATGGGAGGAAATAAAAACCAGGAAAGGCGCTCATGAGTTGCACGACGTAAGTCGAATATGTTAGTAAAGGCACCATCCCCATAGTTCACCTGTATAAATGCGTTCCTTTGTGTTGCCAGATTTTTGAGGAGCTGAAGACTAATTGCGCCAAAATCATTGATGAGAAGAACAAACTAATATATGACATTCATTTGGTGTGTTATCCGCTTTTTTCTTCCACTGTTTTATTTTAATGTTTTAATGCATTTGCTAAGCAAATCAAATAATCCAGACTGAGCAGACAATTTTGTTAAAATTTAAAGGAAATAAAGTAACTACTTTTTGTACTAACCTTTATAGGAGTTGAAAGCTAAAGACGACCACTTCGTGAAAGAACTCAGGAAACGAACAGAAGATGTCGATATCATGGTAGAGCGAATGGAATCTCAGATGAAGTCAATGCAACGCGCCTACGACTTTGAATTGAGAGAAATTGAGGTAGCTCTTGTGTAAATTTCTGCATTTCTTTATGAAGTGTTATTTCTTAGCTAAAAACAAATGTTTAGGCCTCATGCTAGATTACGATGAAGCTATAATGACATCAGCAATTAAGTTCAAAAAGCTTGTCTTGTCTCTTAAATAAGGTTGATTCGTATAAATTATTGTTCCGAAGTGAATGAAGTAACTCGATTTAGGTGATGAGCCCTCAGTAAAGGAATATTTTACGCAATTTCAAAAAAAGCGGTGCAGCAATATGCCCATGCTTTTTTGACAAAATAACTGGAGCTATCAACGGCGAAATGCGTTTGAATTCGCTCAACTTTACTTTTATACACTATCAGAGAGAACTGTGCATCCGAACAAGCAACCGATTAGTGATTGAAAATGACTTCAATGCTTTATACCCAGTCAAGACTATGGGCTGTATGCATGCAACAGTCAATAAACACAGCCACTTGGTAATAGCTATCTCCAAAGTATAAGAATAGCCACCGTTTTGCTCGAAACACTGGAAGAACGTAGTCAGTTGTCAGCAGGCAATCTTGACTACAGCTATATCACCCAGGTTCAGAATTGATGCTTCTGCGAGTGAATCAGGATCCTACATTGTAATTGGAGTAGAGAGTTTCGCGACACCAGCGATTAAGGCTTTACTTGGCTAGCTGCAACCATTCAGACATTAGAGTGAACATTAAATTTACACTATTTAAAAAGAAACATGTTTGCAGTTTCACAAAAGTCCGAAACAAAAGCGTTTGTTAGTCGTATGCAAAGCAGATTACTAAGCTGTCCTTCATCATATAACCGGCTATAAGGGATGGTAAAAGACGGCACTAGTCATAATAATGCAAGATTTGTGGATTCTTCAACCGATTGAGAGGCTATAATCAATGCCACTGAGGTTAATGTGATGACTTGATAAACGATATGCGAAAAGTAATGAACAACGAAAAGTTATTGATGCTTATTAGAACATACAATGGCTTAGAAAGTAAAGTGGTTTATGGCACAAAATCGAAAAATAAGTACCACACCATGCTTTTTTGAAAATAGAAAGCCTTCCTGCAAGATCGCGAGGATCTGCTGAAGGTGCAGACCAATGATTGGGAGGATTTTATGGCTGAACTAAAAAAAAAGCAAGAGAACTACCTGGAAGAACGAAAGAATCGCATTGCTGAACTGGAAGAATTGATCCAAAGACTGCGAACCAATCACTCCGAGGAATTCAACGCGCTCAAACTACGACTAACAACAGAAGTCCAGGTATAGTCATAAAATCGCACCCACTTAAAATAGTCAAGAAAAAACATTTTAATTGATCGGTTCTTTTGTTCCTCTTTGACAAGAATATGGAAACAGATCTTCAACAGATGAAGGCAACGTATCAGTTAAACCTAGAGAAGCTGGAGTATAATTTCCAAGTTCTGAAGAGACGCGACGAGGAGAATACCTTCACACGATCTCAACAGAAGCGAAAAATCACACAACTACAGGATCAACTCAACCGTCTTCGTGTTTTCTCTAAGAAACAGAAAGAATTTCTTCGGTAAGCATTGAATCACAGTCATTGGAGAGTCATGAGCTGAAAACTATTTGGTGAGATACCATGTTGAGTTTAGGCATGAAAATATGGGCCTCTCTGAAGACTACAAGAAAATGATGGAAGCTTTTAGAGACCTTCAAAAAAAATCAAGGTAGGGAGACTTGTATCTAGCCCCAGATTCTTCCCGATTTTTAATCATTGGTTAAATACTTTGTATAAATGATCCTGAGAAGAATTCCACCGCTCTATTTTCAACTTTTTAGGTCACTAATAAAGTTTGAGGAGCAAAATTTCCGTGATATTTGGATTATGAACGAGGATGAATTAAGGAAAGACGCAGAAAAGTTGATGGCGGCTGACAAAATTATCATGGAGCAACAGTTGGGGCTCACTTGGACGCCACCCAACGTGTAATATCTGTTTGCCATTAGTTTGTGAAAAGGTTATTTTGGATCATTTTAATTAGGCCTGTGTGCATGGTTCAGTTGATGGCATAAGTTAACAGGTGTGATTTAAGTCACTGAAAGCCCATTGCACCACGTCGAACTTTTTGCAATGCTATAAATATATAATATCTGTGTGGTGGGGAATGTGCCAATTATGGTGGCATTCTCTTAGTGACTGCATGTCTATAAATTTTATTCAGCGCCTTTATGAACAACAGAGGACCTATTTCATTGGCGGAAAGGGAAAGGCGCAACAATTCAATTGCTGCACGGGCACTGCAAGCGTCCACTCAAAAGAGGCAAGCATTAGGCGGTCTTCTTGATTGTCTATAAACCTGTACTGCTCGAGTTCCCGAACTCATCCTCTTGTTATCAGTCGACTAACTTCACTGTTTACTCGGTCATTGCAGCCAGTCAGTCACAATCAAAAGGTCGTCAAAATGTAGGCTGCCACAGACTCTCAAGGAAGCACCGAAGGATATCGTCGACAAATTTTTGACAATGCTTGCTTTTGAACCCGTATGTATTTTTAATGCATAAAAGACGTCTCTTTGAAAGGAAATCATAGCAATTTTCCCTTAAGGAATTTCTTATAGAAGTGAAGATGAAAAAGTTGTTAAGGGGCCTACCATTTGATGACCAGAAACTGATTCGGCTGGACGCAGTGCTTAACGTGCGTTTTTTTTTTTTGACACATTGACGTCCACTTAAATGGCTTAAGGAGCACGAATATTTTGGACAAATATTAGGTGCTGAAGGTGAACAGTGAAAGATTACTGGACAAACTTTTCACCTACTTCATCCTGCCCTGTGATGAAAACAGACCTAAACCTTTGCCCATATCGCTGCCTGTTTCGTCCCCTTGTAAGTCATTTCTATTACCCTTTTTTTGTTACTTGAATGTTGTCTTGTGCTGCTGTCAGCGATGACCTTGATCTCAGTCGCCGTGCATGTATCTAGTGAAGTTAAAAGCATAATACATATAAGTTCTCAAGAATTCATCGACACTGCAAACATGGTTGCCATACTGAAGGACGGAACCTTCATCAACCACTTTGTCTTTCCACTCGCTCTCAATTCTTACAACTGAGTTCAATCGTTTCCTCCGATTTTTTTTGGCATATCATTGTCTCAACATCTAGATGGGCAAGATGCTCAGCAGGAAGGTGGAAAAAACGAGCTTCAGAAGTGTGAGTCACAGAGCACAACACCACCAGACAGTCTCGCGCCAACCGAGGTGCCTACTTTTAACGAGGAGGTGTCTTTCAGCGTCATTCGGCTCATCGACCCAATCGATGTACCCCAGGTGTTGCATCGCTTCGCTGTGGAAAATTGCGTACATGGTGTCACACTTGCCACTATCGAACGCGCGGTGGATAGCACCGCTCCTGTAACTGCCAGCTTGCCTGAGGACGTCATTAAAGGGGTTGCTGAAAAGGGTAGTGCTGTAAAAATTATCCACCGGGTTAGCGCACGACAGCAGGATCTCCTTGACATGGAAATGGATCGCGAGCATTGGCACAAATATCTGTACGTGCTAATACCACTTGGTCCTCTTTACTTTTAGCTCATTTTGATGTCCTCTGAAGTAATAAATAACCTATCTTTTAGAGCTCATAACAAAGGATAGAGATACAATTGGCTCTTTCGGTATTTATTGCAGGAGAACATTCGCTCCTGACGAAAAGAAAATGATGTGGGCAGGACTGAAGCGAGCGCTACAACACTACCTCAGCATCTTGCAGGCACGATCAAGGCTCATAGTAGATAATGCAGCGATGCGAAATCAAAACACGGAACTGCGACACTTACTAAAACTCTATTCGCAGTCTCAGGTGAATAGGATATTAGGATGCGATTTTGAAGTGGGACCTTTACTATCTATTTTAAGAGGTTAATTTCCCAAAGTGTTTACTTTAAAGACAATTTGGGTTTCTCAATCTTTCAGGCCAGTAAGAGCTTAGAAGTCGATCCCCTGTCTACCATGCAACCGTAAAATATCCGACGTAGTCAATCCAGGCACGACTATTCTTTAACCATTACATGCATTGTGAAAAATTGTAACCTGCGTTCTTATTAAAAATAAAAAAAATAATAATAAAAAAGGGCACTCAATAAAAGGAAAAGACGGGTTTCGGTTATTGGAGTGTGAAGCTACAGTGCCTCAGAACCTTACATTGGGAACTAGGATGAATAACATGAACGCTTGTATTCAGGAATGGGGCTTTGGCGTGTTCATGAGGTCAGCCTACTTGGCAGGAGCAAAGTGGATGCCCAAGTTATCATGCGTGCAGGAAGCGCAGTAAACGAAGTATTGCAGTCACGCGTACTACCTTGCTTATCTGGCTAGATCTGTGGTTGGCGGTCAGTTTTGTAATTAGCTCTTATCCTTCTCTCTGATGACCCGTGTTCAACCCTTCTTAGCATTTCCAAAATTATGGGAGCCGTAATACTTGTTTATGCGAATATCTGATGTCTGGCGGTGGCTGTTGCTCGCCTTGTCGTTGTACGCGTGGGCCATCCTTCAGTCCAAACTAAAGCCCAACTCCTCCTCTCCTATCCTCCAAGAATACATGTGTACAGTCCAAATTAATGCTTTTTTCTACCTTTCGGGAAGTTTGGGGCGTTACACTGGTGGTAGCAGAAAGGGAATTTGGCAGTTAATTGCATCTGTCCCATCGTTTACCGTTTGCCCCGCACTTCGCTCGCGAGATGATTGCGAATACGCTTCCAGGTAGGGGTTGTCTGCACTATTTGCAACAAAGGCTCGGAAATGGTATCTGCGCTTGGTTCCGCTTGATGCCCGCGTTCCAAGACAAAGTTATTAACAGCTAAGGCGGCACCGTCGCAGTCCACCAGCAAAAGTTTTGTATCGGGATCATCCTCACCACATCCGCGCATAGGTATCTGATACAACTATCCCGGATCTCCTGGCATATCGGACTGTTTTTGAACCCGTCTTACATGTTAAGCATTTCGAAATCAAGTCGTGAAAACCATTAATGGTCAACAGAAATTGCTATCTACGATTCTTGCTCTCAGATGTAACTCAAGATCCAGTTGCAGCTGATGAAAAGGCTAAGTACAGACTCTTGATTTTTACTTTAACCGATGATTAGTATTACCTTGTGACGCCGAATACGCTGTGATGGCTGGCGCGGGGCGTGGACCTCTAGGAAAGCGTCGAAAAGGGGAGCGGTGTACCACTTCGTTTATGTGATCACCTGGTTTGGGTATTCTTCTTGCCCTTGTACGCACGAAATGCCATTCAGGCTAAACCAGAGCGCATTCTCTTCGCCTTGATGCCTTCTTCCAGCTAATTGAAGTCTTAGGGCACCAGAGTGGATTTTTTCCCACATGGCCGTTTCTCACGACCACCTTAAGCTACGCGGCTGAACGGCCCGATTCGTACCCAAAATCCACCTGTAGGAACCGCCTGCCTACCCTCCTGCATTCTCAAGGTCCAGCCGTGCTCAGCAGGGGTCATGGGTTTTGCAAAAGTAGAAAATGGGACGAGGAAGTCCATGCTGCGCATAGATGCGGACACAGAAATCAAATTATGGTGGACCTTCGCCCAACTGATTACCTTCAATGAGGCAATACGCACACCCCACCAAATAAGGCACACTTGTAGAGGATAATTGTACAAAATCAATGTTTAGGTAATGTTGTTAATTTTCAATGCTGCATAAAGCCATTTTCGGCTAATTAAAAGGGGTTTTAACAAATAATGAATTATCTCTGACTTGTTTAGGACTTAGTTGTCTTAATGCTCAAGTTACACACCTCGAGTTAAGACTGCTCAGGAGGATATTAAAGCCATCCCTTTGCGTTATAACTTTGAGTTTTTGAAGGCTTAGTGCAACATTTCAACTCACGTTAGGGTAGTTTTGCTTGGCAGCCCAGATAACTCTTCGAGACTTCACACTACGAAAAACATGACATCAGGCACACATGTAAATACGCTGACACCCACATTTGACCTAAATTACTGAGAAGAATGCTGCAGGAACTGCCTGCCCACCCTCATGGCCTTGAACCACGGACTTCAAGAGAGGATTGGTTACAAACGCTTTATTTGATATCACATACAGGAAGAATGCGGATTGGAGTACAGATGGGTCGAAGAGAACATATCAACCGGAGAGCGACTCCTCATGGTCCTCGCGCACATGATTCGCGTTCCAATTCAGTTCCCGACTCTCTCCTATAAAGACGCACTTAAACAATCTAGTACATATGCAACAGTCCCCTTCCCTTTTAGGCACCGTCCCCGATGCTGACCAGTAGTTTCGTCTTAGTAACCTACAGGGGGAGAACCCGTATATGGCCTAATCTTGTATTGTCAGAGGCCGAGTAGCGATCTCCGCATTTCGAATGAGATAATTCGTGGGCGACAGGACTTTGACTATTCGGTAGGGTTCCTTGCTCCAGGGTTGGTAGAATTTCCGATGGGTCCCTAGTGGGGGAATTGGTCTATACAATTGCATCAAATCTCCCTCTTTAAAAACATTTGTTCGTCTCTGTCCGTCATGGGACCTTTTTTCTAGCGTATGCTTTCTTCAACTGTCCGCGAGCGGCATCAAACACTTTCTTAAGGTTTTCCTCTAGTCGCAAGACGTACAGAAGCACGTTATCCACTGACGGTTTCTTACGCGACAGCGAAATGTCGGGACCCTCATTTCACGGCCCGTGAGTATCTTAAATGGTGAGACTCTAGTCGAGGTGTGAGCGGAGGCTTGGTAGGCGCGGAGGGCCCGTCCTAGGTATAGATCCCAAACCTCGAGCTGCACCTCTTTGGTAGAGACCTTCAATGAATCGACAAGAGTATGATTTGCACTCTCTACCTGCCCATTGCCCTGAGAATGACTCGGCGTCGTACGCGTCTTACGGATTCCAAAGGTTTTGCACAGCTCTTTGAATAGACAACTTTCAATGTTCGTCCCCTGGTCGCTATGTACGGAAACAGACACGCCATGGTGATGGATCCAGCATCTTGCGTCTGTAATGGCTCGGCTTCCGCAACCTTGGTGAAATAGTCTACCGTCTCCAAAATATGACGGTTCTTTCTCGCAGTCGTGGGAAGCGGACCTATGATGTCTATGTCTTCTCACTCCCTTGGAAAATCTGTGAACATCGGCTGCAGAGGAGCTACCGCCGTGGTACACGTGACGCATGCGCGACAAAATCGGAGACATCCGATGTCAGCGAGAGACACCAGTACCTCTTCCTTGCGGCGTCTAACATCATCCTTTCCCTCACATGGCCAAGTTGCTCACGCAATCCCAACAGAAATGTCTGCACCAAGGACCTGCCACGCCGATGAGACGGCTCAATCTACTGGTTCTACTGCGCATCAGTTGCTCTATCAAGGCGGGTGGACGCAAACCCCTTTGAACTGGGCCGCTATCCATAGTGCAACCCGCAGGGAACAGCAATCCTTGAATGCCTGTTTGGCTAGTAACTGGAGATTCCTCGCGAAGTCTCCATCACTCTCTCCCGGTTTTTGTAACTAGTAGAAAAGCCTGAAGCCAAGAATTCCTCCTTCTGTAGGGATGTCAATGTGATAAGAACCTCACAGCACTCTTCTATATCCGAGGAAAGCGTGATACTCGCATCCATTGCTTTCAGAAGTATGTCGTAGGACAATGACACTCCGTGAAGTATTGTAATCATCGAAATCTGTGCCTTTTTTGAAGAAGAGAAATCGACCGGCGCTGCAACCACTGTATTGTCTCGAGACTTCGTAGTCAATATAAAAAGTCAGTAAGTGGAGCTGGATAAGCCTATTATGAAGACGACAGGATAAATGGCCTGGGTATGACCCGAAGACCAGCCCTCGTATACAAGGACGAGTCCAATCCTAAAGCGGCCGCCTGACGCCATGCAGTCTCATAAACAAAGAATTTCGTCACCATTCCTTATATATCATAGATAAAAATGAATTCATGCAATAAATATTAAGTACACTTACAAGATAGTGCATTCACACTGACTCTAATCTGTGCCAGAGTATGTAATCAATTATTTTGATTATGGCATCAAGTGGTTTGTTGCATTGATTACATCGTACAATGGTAATGAATTGAGCTCGAACAACTAATTCTATTAATCCTCTTTTTGCATTTTAAGTAACAACTGTGGATTCGGTGTTGATTGGCTGTAAAGTTGGTTGGATGGCCTAGTTGACTTTGTATTCCAAGATGACGGATGCGGGCTTTTTTAAAGTATTTTGTAATTATTTTTCGACTTCACCACCTACTAGGGCACAAACACCGACCAGGATTCTAGATTTGCCGACAAGAAGAAGAAGCTACTGAAAAGCATGAAGTTTGGCGACAACTTAAACGAGAAAGTTGGTGCCCTTTCTCTTCGTTACTAAATTTAACTTCAGGTCGACACGCAAAGAGTTAACGTTGAGTCCATTAAACCCTGGATCGTCAAGCGCATCACTGAGCTTCTCTCATACGAGGACGATATTGTCTGCGATTTCGTCGTAAATATGCTTTCCGAGCAGGTAAAGTTGTGCTCCGCAATTCCATTAACCTTTAAAATCCACGACATTTTAACGTATCATTTTTAAGTCATGACTGTCCTTGTAAGGAAGCTGAAGGGTATCAGGTTGGTTTGCGCAATAACGTTTTTGACTTCTCTTGACGCATAAGCGCCTTTCTTTTATAAATTTTGATTGGCTTTTAGGTGTTGCCAGGGGCTACTATCAACTTAAGTGTGTTGGAGCGATGGCTCGCAGTTTGAACTCTGCCACTGCACCTACCGGTACCATTTTTACCGTGGTCTCCAAATATTAGTCTCGTTGTCCTGCTTTAATGGGAGACCCTATCTAGTCCCTGTAACGCTTTTTCCTTAGTTTCATCGCTTTTCTTCCTCCTTCCTTCTTTCTAGTTTCCTGATCCCAAGGACATTCAAATTAATCTCACGGCCTTTCTGGGTAGCAAGAGTGCGCGGATCTTCGTTACAGAGCTCTGGGATCTTCTCCTTTCTGCAATGAACACGACCGGCGGCGTTCCCGCCATCCTCCTGGAGGCCAGAAAAGTCGAGATTCTCGGTAGCAAGGTAAGGAGCTGTAAAAATATGATAACTTGGTTATTTTCTTGCTCTCGACTCTATTAGTCTTGTGCGAGGAATAATTCTGACGTATTTTTTTTCAAGTCCATGCATATTGGCGGATCGCAGGTTGAGTCATATCCTCTGGTAGCAAATGGAGTTACTAATGTGCTATGAAACTCACTTGCCATTGCAACATTTTGGAGGAACTGCGTACTTTAGTGCTCGAGTCATTTTAATTTCTTGGAAGCATTCAACGAAGTCAGATTTCCATCAAAATACGTGTTTTCAGACTGTCCATCTTCTGATGCTTTTGGAATCAGAACAGTATTTTTTGTCTTTGTTCGCAAGTACAGAAGTTCATTTTTCGAAACTTATTTTGTTGCGCATTGTTTTCCCCTTTTTTGGTGGAAAGTTCTGTTCTGTTGAACTGGTGAATTGGTGAATTCTCGGGATACTTTCCTACCAAAGGGCAAGCGATTTTTTTATGATCGACTTCGAAACTTTACAGTGAAACAATTTGCATTGTTTCAAATCAATCCAAAATTTTCAATAACGAGTCGAGAGTTGTTGCAAAGTTATTGAAGGCGCTGTCTTCTCACCATTCTAAATGGCGATCGCTAACGTTAAAAATTAGCGTTTGAGATCTCCATGCTTTAGAAAGCGGTGAGAGAGAGTTTACTGCAAATTTGTTTCGTTAATTTTCTTTAATTTATGACCTTTTATTGACACTTAGTTACTCGATAATGGAGTCACTTGATGCTGGTTCTACGCGAGAACCATCTAATTGTTCCCTGAAAACTTATTTTATTTGCATGTATCTCACCGACCGATTTTGGCCGCTTCTTACGGGCTAAGTTGGGGCTCCGCACAACCAGTTATTTGGGACTGACCAGGGGTGCTTTCACTCGTTCTGGGGTGGACTCCCAGAATTAATTGATAAAATCGCGAATGATTGAGCTGAATCCATTGTTTCTTAAAAGGAGACGTACTTTCTACGTTGGTGGGAATCGCAAGCCTGTCTCTCGATTGGGAGAGTTCGTAAGGCGTTTGTGACAGCATCCTACCTTAAGGAGACTCGTTAAATCAATAACTCCAAATGATCTTAGTGACGTGCTCTCAGTGCACAAACCGTGGCTTTACCGATAGCAGTGTTTGCAACCAAGGTCGCGTGTGTATGTTGTCTATATCGGGTTATGGCGACCAGCTCCAACGGTTGCGCCAAACAAATTATTTTGGCACATTTGGAAGGAGGTAAAATGAGTCCTATCTCAATCTTCTTGTCGCGCCCTTGTTATCAATGTTTGTGAATACATCTCTTATTAGTGGTAGCTGAACTAGGACGCCCCCGAACCATGTGGTGCGAAAGAAGTGGTTGAACTTTGAGGCTTGGAGATGTACGTTGATTTATCCTGTTCAGAGAACAATTAGGTTCATTTTTTTACAAGTGACCACTGGTTTCACTGGTTAGTAGATTGCTTGATCATCTGGGTGAGATGTGGGGACCGGTTTTCCTTCGGGACTTCCTTAGCAGATATACTGGTCGTAATGATCTGGACCAAGTCCATCCAGTTCTGCTCTCCGGTAAACTAACTTGACGTGACTGACTGGTAAAATAACATGAAACTGGGTCATATGCAGGGAACACAGTTATTTGGTATTCAATCGCTGTTTATCTAGCATTGTTTGGCGTATTACTCTCTTGGGACTATGGCACTTATCTCTGTAAGTGAATAGGCTAATGAACGGAGTTTTGTGTTACTAGTGCTATTGTCACCTGTTGCATTGTAGTGGCTTCTTATGATAGGTTAAAATTCCACAAAATTGGTAGGAAAGTGAATTTCCGATTCTTTCCTACTATTTGGTATGTCAGTCTTTTGTTGGGAGCAAGGTGTTGCATATGGATAGCCACAGAATCGTTTATTCCCAACTCTCAATCAGTCTTGCATTTTCAAGGCCGCAATTCCCGTCAGTCAATTCAATTAAAGAACTTTGCTTATATTGGTGAATAAGTTTCTATTAACTGATGGGAATGAGTAGTGATCAAAGTACAGGTAAGCTGAGGGGGGCAGTAATTTTGCGTAGTCAAATCCACTAGGTTGTTTATATGGGCGTTCTACAGGCCCAAGAAGAGAGGTTTCGAGCGGAGCAGGCCTCACGTCAACTGGAAGGAGGAGGTGGCGGTGGCAGCAGCGGAGGAGTAACGATCAATCGGCCGAGGGAACATGGTGATGGACCTTCTCCCACTCACCCCATCTCTCCTGCCGCTACTAATCAACGTCGTCGATCACCGTCCCCACCACGCAATGAGAGGAAGGAGGTTGACTCCCGTAGTAGGAACCGTCGACGCTACTGTAAGTCATTCTTCCGTTAGAGTCAACGCGTGGACCTCATCACCATTGAAGCTAAAATTAAGCTAGTGACTTCGAGCCCGATATCAAAAGTAGAGGTTGGGTTTGAGCCTTCATTCCATATCTGTTAAAAGGAATTGGCGTGTTTGAGCATTGCCTTTTAGGCATGCATTTTTGATCTTCTGGATCTTTTGTCTTTAAGGAATTCCTTTTGTGTAATCCATAACCGCAATTTCACCAGAAACCATGATCTTGAAGAAATCGTTGTTAATGCTATTGTGGCCTTAAAAACTTTCTCGCTGTGAGCCTTCGTGGATCAGATTGGCTTCCTCTTGTGGCCTTAGGGCATACCGGTCGGTCAGCTGATTTGGACGTCCCTTTCGTAAACGTGGATTTTAAACTCCAGCAAATCATTCGGAAAACTATCCATTCTTAGCATAAAACTCCGTGACACCATAATAGCTGTTAAAGTGTCTACGGCTGGGAATATGGTACTAAGATCGATGCCCTCGGTACTTATGACTTGTACCCCACCTCGCCAGCATCTTCGCCCGATTCCGAAAGTGAGCGAAGTCGAAGCAGGCGTCGACGCAGAGAGGAAGAGGACATAGAAGCTGAGGTTGCGGAACAGGGCGATTGGGATCGAAGGGTGAGTCTTTGCTTTTCACTTCACTTTTTGACTTCGGAATTCCTCAATCCCTATTAGTCTTTCAGCTTCTTGCTCTTCCTTATTACAGAGACGGCGGCACCGCCGTAGCTACTCTAGATCACCCTCTAGTCATCGACGTGACTACCACCGTCATCACCATCGTCACGGGCATCATAGTCCACGAGACCGTCGGTATGAAGAGGTAGAAATGGATGCAGACATCCGCTCTTTCCACGAACGTCGTCGACCTCGGTTTGTGTGCACAACAGATATCAGTTAATTCAATTCAGTAGCTAAATTGAAGAGGTCTTTTGTTTTCTTTAACTTAAGTTCAAGGGAGGGTAGAAGGCCACGAGAGGAGGAGAGGGAGAGGGCCGTTCACAACGCTGATGGTCCAATATGCGTGCCACGTGCAGGCACACCTTCTCCGCCGCACCCACCAACACAGCGCCAACAGCCTTCACCCGTGACCGAAACCAAAGTAAACGGTGAAGGGACTGAGGAAAGTGTTGAGAGGTAGACAATCTGACGTCCATGGCTTCTGCTTTACCCTTTCAAAGTACCAAATTGTGACGGATTTCTGAGTGGACGATTCTTTTAGTTATTCTTCAATCTCGGAGATGGCCACTTGCTTCCTGACTTTGTTCCTATTTTATTATCACTTTTTGGCTGGGCTTTGCTATTTTCGCTCATTTACTCCATTATCGAACTATCGTTGTTAACTTTCTTGGTAGTTGTGTGCATATTCAGCTTTTCTTATGCTCATTTCATCATTCCGGTGTAACTTCCCTCGTTCACAGACCCCATCGCAGTGGTAGATCACCCCGTCGGGGTGTCCCAAGGTCGTCCCCTCGTGAAGACAGGTCTCGACGCACAGATGAAGTCTATCGTGAAGATAGGTGAGTTTCGCTTCCTTTCAAGCCCAGTGATTAACTCACTCAATCTCTTTTTTATGCAGAAATGTTCGTGATTTGGACACAGACAAGTGAGTTTTTGTTCGTCCTTTTCTTGTGGCAGCTTTCTGTTAATCATTCGAGGTGGCACAAATCCTCGAAATTGAATAAAGATTAGTTAGGTGGGATGTTACATAACAAGGAAACATTGAAAATTCGACGTTGTCGAGGTTATGATTGAATCTTACTTCAAACTGAGACCATGAAGTTTACATTGGTGTTTATTCTGTGCTCGTCGCTCTTGGACTTTCGTTAGGGCACAAACGGGCAGCTGTCAAATGGCTGATTGTTAAGCGTCACCACTCTCATCGTGGTGGTGCTTTGACTGACGTATTCTCCATGGCTGTCTTACATCCTTGTTTAAAATAAGTTTGTTCCAAGAAGACATGCACCATCTCATGACGTGCATGGCAGCCCTCGCTGTGCATTGCTTTGTGTGTATATCACCACGCTTTCATCTACTATTATAAGCACATGTTCTCTGGATGTCGAGAGAATCGCCTATGATTGTCACTCATTCCTCATAAATCTCGATTTGCAGCAGAGCCTACAAGGAGAGGTCATCTTGGCGACGAGATGATTCCCATGATAGGTGAGTGCTTTTGTCCTACTAAGTTGGATAATTTTCCTCCCCTTTTGACCTAACTAGCAAGCAGGTCATCGTACTTCTCTTTCTCAAGGCGTCGAAGTAGTCGCCTGACTATGGAAAACGAGACATATGTGGAGGAACATCGTCGACACGATAATCACGAGGGTTTGGAAGATCGCATTAAAGCACGACAACGTCGAGATGAAAAGTCGGTAGAGGAGAGAGAGGGGCCGGAGCAACGCCAACAAAGACGAATACCTCCTGCTTCCTCTTCTAGACGTCGCAGCCCCGAGGGACCCATTCTTCCACCAGGTGATAGAGATCGAAGAAGGGGCAGGAGAGAGGGAGAAGGTGATTCATAACTTCACACGTGCTCCTTTTTGTGTCCTCAATTCCATCTGAGTGCTCATTCTTCCAACTGCCTTCTAGATGCTCCTCTGGTCTCTCCAGAGGGTCCAGAGCTTCCAAAAGGTCTGGTAAAACAGAGGACGGAAGAAGAGGAAGAAAAGGCTAGGAAAATTGAGAAAAAGACTAAGAAGCGACGAACTTCCTCGTCGTCATCTTCTTCCTCCTCTTCGTCAACATCCTCCTCGTCGTCTTCCTTGGAGTCTAGCTCAGACGATGAGTCGTCGGATTCGAGTTCTGACTCAGACAGTAGCAGTAACGAAAGTGATAGTAGTAGCAGTTCCTCCTCTTCGTCTGACGACTCCGATGTTCGTACTAAAGGGAAGAAGAGAAAGCATTCCAAAGCTCACGAAAAGGTGGGTTTTATTTTCTTCCTCTCCACTGAAACTCCACTTCTCATAAGTCATTTGAATGTGACGCTTTCCGTAATAGAGTGGTTTGCTTTGCTAGTAAGTAGGCAAAAGGATGACAACTGTCGTTGATAGATCACTTTGTCATGGTATTTTTAGTAGCATTTGGTTTTGATTTGGTTTCTACTCCTCAAGTTAGTTTGGTTTTTAGCTTGTATGTTTGTTACTTTTCTTCCAATGTGTCGTTGTGTCTCGATGTTCAATTATATACTGCTTTTTGTTCTTTTTTTGCAATCAGCGTTTTTCAAACTTTTTACTGCGTCCACTCTATTTGGACAGGCACAAGAGCCCTTAGTTTCGATTGGCTCTTACACTTCCTAATTAGCCAGTCATCGATGAGGGTTTTCTTTTTACACTTCAGAAGAGCAAATCTGCGAAAAGGCGCAAGGTACGTAAACACAAAGCGAAGGAGAAGTCGATAAAGAAGAAGCGAGAGACGCAAGTGCTGAAGGAGGGTGTTAAGAAGAACAAAAGGGAGCTTCCACAGTCACTCTCTCCTGAGGGTCCGAAGCTTCCACCACCGGTTGAAGAAATTGAAAGTCCTGGCGTAGAATGGAAAGAAAGGAGGAGGGGTGATGATGTCAATGAAGTCTTGTCTTCTACCTCTTCATCTTCCAGTGAAGACTCATACACTGATTCATCTTCAAGCTCGTCCTCGTCATTGACGAGCTCCAGTTCTGAGGAAAAACGCGAAATATTGAGAGAGGTGCCTTCAAAACGCTCTCGTCAGGACGACGATTTTAGTGATGGGGATAAAGAGCGTGGACGCAAAAGAAATGTGAGTTGATTTTAAGGCATTAAAGGTGGCTTATTATCGGAATCACCTACTTGGAACCATGGGAGTGAGAGGCGACTTTGGATTAACTTCATTAACCGTTTTCTTTCATTTATTCAAGAATGATGTGGATATTACTGAAAGTCGTAGTGGCAGTGGGAAACGTCGAAGACGCGGCGGAGACGTCGACTTCATGGAAGGAGACAAGGAGGATGATGAGGTTGAGGTGGACAGGCGTCGCGGAAGTAGTAGTCGAAGCGAAGAGGATCGTCTCCGACGCAGAGCATTGGAGTCGTTGAAGCGAAAGAATGCTGTCGTTGGGGCCTCGCGTCCAATGGATTCGTCTTGAAATGACAGCCCTATCCCCTTTTCTCCGTTTTTTTATACGTCCCTACATTTGGTGTCGCTGCCTGTCTGTCTGTCACTACACTTGCTAAAGAATGATGACCTGCTTGCCCTTAATGAAAGGGGTTTTTGGGACTTGATAACAGACTGGGAAGAACTTCGTCGATGAACAGAAAGATCCTTCTTTGGGTGGATATCTTTGTATGCCTGTGATAGTATGTCAGTCGAGCCATATTTCTACTAGATGGCTCATTCAGTTTTGGTGAATGCAAATGACTGGATGCGTCGTAATCACTAACACTTTCAGGACCTTGGAATTTCTGGATTGAGGATCCTGCTACCATGCCTGATCTAACAGGAGTTCTTCGCCATAAGTTAGCCATTTGGTGACCATTACCTGTGTCCAATGCGCTTTGAGTGCTTGCGCACTGGACGTCCAACAAATTAATTTCCTTCCTGCAATCACACTCATCCTGTGTGCCAGCAGTGGCTTTTTTGATGCCGTCATTACGTTTTTGTGATACCTTAGAGATCGCTGGGTTTTGGCGAACTGCCATCCTTTGGTTGCAGGAGTTCATGTGGGCCTTTCCTTGGTAGTTAACCTAACGAAGTTACTACAGTCTGAAGAGAGGACTGGTAATGGATCTTGCAGAATAGTACCTGGATAGTCGTTACCTATGCCCTGCACAGTTAATCCCTTTTTCAGAATCCAAGTATATTCAGTGGTAACTTCCTTGTCTCAGGTTCGCTGCCTATCCATTAGCTTGAAATTTCCGGCAAAACTTTGAAACGAAATACCAAGTCGGGTTATTTTCAGAGTAAACATGTCCATTTTCCTATCATGAAACCTAGCTCTTGGGTCATGAACAGTCAGTCCAGAAGCAAGTCCTTTTTGTGGCCGTGGCGAAAACAACGTCATTCAGTGCAAATATTTGCAGGCTCAGGAATCTAGCACAAGCTCAGCACCGCAACGATCCATTCTTCATTTTTTTTCGAGATGTGAATCAGACCACTAATCGTACTGACAAATTGGTCGTTGCCAAGACTGGAAGGCAAGTACTTTAAGTAGGGGAGTTGACTAGAAAAGTGGTCGGTGGCAGCTCCTGTTTCCGTGCTTGTGCCATTTCACCCCTTTTTCCCATCATCGAGATTGACTAAAAAGCAACACAAAAGGAGACACAATGCTTGTTATGCATTTACAGATGCTTCCTCGTATACATGCCACACACATCATGGTGCGTAAATATAAGGCTTTACAAAAGCAGGAGATGGATAGGACGAAGAAGACAGCGGAAATAGAGCAGATTAGGTGAAGGATTTGGAGAGAGAGAGAGAGCGGAGAGAGTTAGTGCAAGAGGATTGTCAGATTTGAATCAGGCAATTCACCGTTTTTCCCCCGAGAGGCTGATGGAATGCATATCTGTATTTAATGAGAAAGAGGGCGAGATCCGGGCACCGAATTGGTCAGTGGCAAAAATCCAACCAGTAGGTCAATAAGAGGTGCTCAAATGAAGTGGTCTCCATTACACTGCAACGTCTACCTAACACTACTAGAAAGATCTGTTGGACGCCTGAGCAACTTCCCACTGAAGAAATGCACGCAGCACTTCCAAGAAGTCAACCATGGAAATGTCATTGGTAAAGAACGATATCAGTGATCTAATTTAAGCGTTAAAGAGTATAGAAATGGAACACCCGTTTTAACTGTAAACTCATATAATGTGAATTTTCGGTCCCTTGGCAGTCAACTACTCCCTTGATAGCACGAAGACCTGTAAATAGCCTTTTACTGATAAATCAACCCATTTCTAAATCGGGGATAATTCGGAAGTTACACTTGTATTGGTGACAAACTAGCCCATTTTGATGGAAACAAAGACTCCAAACCAAGGAACAACGTTCTGTAACCACACTGATGGTAGCGTATCAACGACCTCACTTTAAACCATTGAAAATTATACGATGCTGTCCTTCGCCGATCACCCTTGACTATTATGGTTAGCTTCCATTGATGAAGGTAGCGCGGACTGGAATTCAGGAGGCGTTGAGGAAGGGGAGGGCGCCACAACGGACACTGATGGTGCTTGCAGTAGTGCGAGTACCTCAGCATCAGCGTGTACACCTTCAACGAAATCGGCAAAAGAGATTCGTTCATCACCATCCCTATCCATCACCGCAAAGAGCCGACGCGTCCGTTGTTCTGGCGTCGCCTCTTCTGCCGGCATCTCGCGCGCCACGGCTGCAGGTCCAATCATCTTGTAGATAGCCTGAAATAAGGTGTTGACAATAGTGAGCCTGAATAATATTTTAAGCATCCGTTTTGGTGAATTAAGTGCATTTACTATTTTTAATATTGCTGCAGGGAATCTCCAAGTCAACTGTGACTTTGAAGCTCACACAAATAAGAATTCTGTTGCATCCTCAAACATTTCCTGCCAAAAGTTTGTTCTTCACTCGGTATCAGTCATTCCACATGCGCAATTACATGTCGCAAGGGGAACGCCATCACGGTTGACATCGTCACTATCGTTAGTGTTGGGATGATCTACAACAAGGCATGCATTTAAAAACCAGTGGATTGTTAAGCTTTTCCTCATTATGCGAACGGCAATAGAAACGCAAATAGGCATTAATCGTTGTGGTTTAAGAGAAAGGCCATTTATCGCCGTGTTTACGCCTAGGACTGTTGTCTGCAAGCTCAAATGAGGTAGCAATGTCCAGACCAGCCCACAGTTCTAAGTTCATGCGAATGGAACGTTTGAGATTTAATTTACTCTGATTATCACTTCACGAATTTCCTAAAATGAATCCCAAAAACACCTTTCTCTTTATGGTCTACTTAAATGATTGTAAGTAGGGTTCCGTTCTTTGGAACAACACATTTTGTAAAACAATATCTGAGAACTTCGTGAGTACCTACAAAGTTAAAATCCCCTTTCGTTCCAACTTTGGAAGTGGAGAAGTGACAGAAAAATGAATGCAGTAGCCAGAGATTGTCCAAACTTAGAACAAAGGGCAGCAGCTCATCAATCATCGGGCGATAATAAAAGCCACCGCAAACAACCAATCCACTAGGCTAATGAATGCGTAGACTATTGATTTTTTGATCTCATCACACGAAAAAAAGCAAGTGGACTTTAATAAAGGTGGGAGTGAACGTGGTGGATTTGACCATAGACATTACTAAACCTTCATAAATGGTACAATTTGTTTGATCAGTAGTCAATCCAATTGCCCTAAAATGAGTTTTTCTTAGTAGAAACTTCGTATTGTGAACTGTAGAAAACGAAGGATAAATTTGAAATGATTACCAAGACCAATAGAAATGGTCAAGGGAAAACACGAGACAAAGCATTAACTTTACTCTCTCAAATCTTTAAAGGAACCCAAACGATAGAATTTAGCTTGGAAGCATAGGATTCTTCGGAAATCCAAGCAGTTCAGAAAAGGCATTGATTGCTGTCCTCTTAACCCATACATTCGCCCTTCTACTCGTTCAACCATGCCCACTGAATCCAGGTAATAATCCTTCTCTGCACCCAATCAGCTGCCTCCCTGCCCATCTGGCCATTCAACAATCTATCCCACCACCAATCAGAAATTTAGTTTATACAAACTCAATCAGCCGTCCATTCAACGAATATTGCATTCGGAGTCCAAACAGTCGGGGTCACTGGATGGTTCCGTGCAAACAAACGAATTACATTTGCTCACCAATTACAACAAAACTGTACCATCGTAAATCACCTTCATAAATGAGCAATTCATGCAACTCAAAACCACTCTAAATGTGGCATTCATATTCCCTTGATTGACTTTCAAAGCTCCTAAAACATCATTTGTGAAATAATTCTGCTTGATTCCCTTAATTCCAGGTCTACACAGATTTCGGTACCTGACCCCAAATTTCGTAGCAGCACATTCATATTGATTTGTAAAGCTATACGAAATTTATCCCATCTGGAGGAAGCGAGTTCATAGGAGGCCGCGTGTAGTGCACAATCATTTCAGTAGTCATTCAAAATGTGCAATGCATTCAGAAGGAACCTCGGTTACCCATTTAGAACTACTCCATCAGGAAAGTGAAATGACTTGTTTGTACCGACATCAACCGAAGGGGAAACTTTTTGAATCAGCAACGATGACAGACCTGAAAACCTATCAACCCGCTTTTTCTTTTATATCGACAAAACATACCGATCAAGGTAGCAGAGGTTATTCTCCAAATTGCGTTTTACTTCAATTCCAGAAAGTGTGTGATGTAATGATGAGCCAATTGTTTACCAAAGGTTGTTTACCCTTGAAGACAAACTAGCAGTTGAACTTGAGCTCTGGCTACTATAAACACTACAAAAAGCACACAGAAGGGGGGACATGTTCACCAGAGATAGGTAAAATGAAAGTGCAATTCCTGAAGCAAGACACAAAGCGTGCCATTACAAGCGTCGCATTTTTGATGAGACCGAAATCAGGAAAGAAGGGAATACTGCCGTTTCATTAGCCACACATTCTTTCTTCGTGCTACTTTGATGGCGCTTTCCAAGCGACGCCCCAGCTAACAAGAAAATAGAAGGAAAGACCTAAATTTTTGCAGCTAAGAGGCAAGATGTATCCAAACAGGATTTGAGACAGGCTTGCGTCTCGTTCAGGAGGAAATGACAAACCAGTATGAGACTATGAAATTAAACATCAGTTCTCAAAAAAGTACACAAAACTGAATTGGAGAAACAGCACAAGTTTCACAACCTACGCGTCTTATTGGAACCACCTTTTTTCCCGGCAAAATAATAAGAATTCTATCCTCAAAGCATGAACATTCCATAATCACACTTCAGATATATTTCAAAAAGATAAAACGGAAAGACGAACTCCTCAATCTTGCCAATTTAAATGCCGAAAACAAACAGTACTGAGACTGTAGGTTATGTCATGATAGCTGAAGCAACAATTTTCAACTACTTCACAAACCCAACACCAGCGCCGATATCTGCCGTGGCTAGCGCTTTTAGATTTTCACAAAAAAGAGCAAACCAATGCACTAAGGCACCTTTAGTGTAGCTATTCCGATCAGTTAAGCATTACTGTATAATGATGACGATGATGGTCCTCGACAGGGCATAAGTGGAAAGAGAAAATGTCTACACATTGAGACACTATTCCACGCCAAGCCTATTCTGGTGTGATGCTGCACTGTAAAACAGTACCTTTACTACATGACAACATCCTCCTTGAAGCAAGCAGTCAGGTGGTTCGCCACTCCAACTTTCACGTTTGACTGTCATCAGAACTTAACAGGGCCGTATTTGCGTCCTTCGGGCTGACAGACCAGTGCTTTATTGGCTCAGTCAAAAAGCAGGAAAATATTGTCCCTGTACAACCTATACTAATAGTTGTTCTAATAAATGAGGCAGATAAGGAAGTGCCTCTTTTAAAGCATACTTTTTAAAGATGTAACTGCCCTCAAATAAGCCAGGTAAAGGTTTGCAAAGTACTCAGCTCGAGCCTTAGCAATGATGGTCTGGACTTAAGTACAAGCATTTCAGCCTCTGAAAAATGAGCCATTGTAATTAAAGTGGATTAAACTAGGCTGATCATACTGTGATTGTCAAATAGAGGAACGCTGCCTACTTCTCAATGCTTTTCAGTAAATTTTATCAAAATAAAGTGGATACGCCTATGTACTGCTCCTTAAGACAGCAAATAACCATCTCAAATGAAATGGCTTTATTGTTAGGTCATTCTTTTGTGCATTAATAATAATATTGTTAGCAATTTTAATTTCAACGGTAACCCGAAATTATACGGAATGCGATCGCAGGACAGAAATGGTAATGCGCTTAAACGACAGTCATGATCATTAAAGTCGACCAGTAGAGATGATGTTAGCAATATTGCAGTCGATATACTGTTGCTTGAACGATATTGTCATGCCAAGCCAGATCGAAGAAAATCACCTCCTCCTTTACTTAATGTTGCCACCAATAAGTTTGCAGTTAGACCAGTAGGCTCACTTAAAAGAAGCGAGTGTTTCCTGATTATTTACAAAATTAGGCCAGTTAGGCCGTAGCAGCATCGAAGCAAGCTTAACAATGAACGAGACGAGAGAGCAACACCGCATAAACAGTTAACTGTAAGAGCAGTTTCCATAACTTCAGTGCAGACACAATTCGCCTACCCCATTACAGCGGTGCCACATTAACATATGCTGGCGTAATCAGATATGACCCCTTTACCAAGCAAAAATTTCCAGACCAAAGTAAATAGTCAGGTCTGCACTTCGTTGCAAAATAACTTTCGGTTTTAGTCATTGGAAACATCGACAAGTGGGAACAATGCCAAGAAAAAGTATCGAATCAGTTCAACTAGAGAGCAATCGCCAAGAACACTGTGATCGATGTGCTACGTAAGGAAAACTTCATTTTTATATCCAGTGTAGCAATGAAAACACGGTCAAACAAAAAACATTATCCGTGATAATGAGGCCTTAAAACTAGCGTAAAGAATAAGAAAAAGTCATTCCTTGAGAAACAATAAACACTTCCTTTGAAAATAGCGAGATCAAAAAAGGAGTCTTTCCAACAAAAAGATCTATACCCTGGCCATCCATCACTTAAAAAATGAAGTAGAAGCGATCACCCAATTAGTTTCACCTAGTCATTACTTACCTGCCTTATGGGTAAAGAGGAATGGACTGCGATGATTAGGCAAACACGGTATGATTCACCACGGTCATTTGTTGTGAAGCCAAGGAGTTACCACCTTGCATGTAACAGTTTAACAGCAGAATGTCATATAAATGCATGAAAAAAAACTAAAAGACATATAAATTGAGTTTAAAGCCGTGAACCTATCGAAAGTTTCACTCAGGTGCCATTTTACATTTTTGCCATTTGCCATTTTGCAGCCAAAACAACGACAATTGCTAATAAGTAGTGCATCTCACCTTGACAACATGCAACATTTCGCCACGACTGATATAGCCATCTCCGTCAAGATCGTAGATCTGAAATGCCCATTGCAACCGCTGTTCTTCGTCACTAGGATATCTCGTGACACTCAGAGTAGTAATGATATCACGAAACTCAACCACTCCGTCCCCATTTTGATCAAAGGCACGGAAAACAAGACGCGCGAATGGCCTTGGATCACCGTGACGATCCCCGTTGGAGGCTGAGGAGCTAAAGAGTGCGCAGTACAAGCGCTGAAAATCCTCCACGGTTAGTTGCCCACTGGGACAGTCCTAAACGCATGAAAGATTCATAAAATTCCTTTCCCTTTTGCAAAAAATATTGATGAGACAAGTATAATGGATTCAACTTCATAAAGCTTCATGATCTGAGCCCATTTTCATGCAAGCAGGTTTGTGGAATACACCCGAAACATGAAACGACAGTATCTTGGTGAAAATTAACATTATTCCGGGAATTAGCGAGGAAAATAGCCTGAGCCCACAAATAAGCAAGCAGTGGAGAGAAAATCAAGATTTACCTTCAAAAACCCTCGATACCATAACTGAATCTCCTGTTCGTTGAAGGGTGTTGACCGTATTAGTTCGTCAACTGTTTCTGCTTTAAGCTTTGCTTGTTTTGCACCCATTTAGGAACGAGATAAGGCAGTAAAAATTAAGTTTGGGTATTTTAGACCAAGAAACAATCTCTAAGAGAACGCAATATGACCCATAGCGGGCACAGCGACAAAAATGAGCGCAGAAACTGAGGGTTGAATTAATTCAAGGTCAACTGATACGACCATTATCATATAACCATACGCGTTTCGAATGAAAGGAAGCGTTGGCTGTATAACCGCAAAACCATAAGGTTTTTCGAGCACACTATTTTATTAAAAGCAAATAAAACTTTGTACAACTAGTCTATAGTTATATTTAATGCAAGTAACGTTGACCAATATACAAAATCTCATTTTTATTACCTAATTGTCATTTATCAAAATGTGTCCATTACTTACTCTCACATATGCCATCTCACCAGCGTTTCCTGCTCAATAAGTTAGAGTAGTCTGGCAACTACTATAGCTTTTTAAAAATAATCTAAGTCGAAAAATGTCATTCCAGTGTGGCGCAAAACATGGCGCTGGGTGGAAGTATGAAGTCATGGACCTCTCCTTAGGACTTGTTATCGAGCTACTTTCCTTTTAAAAGGGATGTGAGTAACCTTGCAAACAAAAAAATTGGCTGAGCAATCGCATCACTAAAACCACTTCTCGCTTTCAGTTTGATTGATAAGCACCCTCACTTATTGGTGGAATGGACAGTTCATTCCCTAGTACCGTTTAAAAAATTTGCTGATTATATGGTAATAACAAAACCAAAAACTTGTAAAGATTAAAGCGATATTGTATGCAAAATTTCCCATTAAATTGTTCCGATTCGGACCTACCCACTGTGACGCTCATATAGAGGCTTCAAGTTTGCAGCTTCCACAATTGAAAGAATATTTTACGTCAAGCAGTAAAATTTGTTAAAAATGTTGGGCTGATATTCAATCCCCAAGTTGGCATTTGCCTCGGTGTGCAAATAAACCTGCCATTACCCAGTGCATGGTGAGATTATGTGCGCCTCTTCAAGATCCCAACCGATTATTGAAATTTTGAAAAATGTTGAAACTTTTAATGAAGAAATTTGTAGAGATGTTAGGAATCATGAAGAACTGACAACCGTCTGCCATTATAATATGGTAGTGGTTTTCCTTTCTCTACGCACAACATTTTCTTAGTGTTACCACATCACTCTCCTCCTTCAGGTAGCTCTAAGGTCATAGGCTAGATACAATGAATACGCTGCATGTAATGCACTTTCCGCAGAAATCGTATCCATTTCAGCGAGCTAAATATCACTAACTCTTACCCGGGAACTCTGGCATTTTCTAGTAGTCTCAACACTCCTTAAGCATAGACCAATATTGGGAAGCTGTTTGACGAATTAACCAAACATCTCCAGTCGCTTAGGTGTCCTCTCATTCTTGCTTTTGCATGAATGTGGCGATCACGGAGGCATGAATCGTTTATGACGGATCGGATTTTCGCAAAATAATTCTGCGAATGCATGTGGTCTGTTATTTCTGAACGGTATGGAATAGTTTAAATGATGTTTAGATCATCAGCCCAATTTTTGTAGTCCAAGGTACCTCCAAAACAATCTTCATTTCATTGTCTGTGGTAATGCGTAATGACTTTTTCTGGCCCTTTCTTCTTGTGATCACAGACTGTCAAGTGGTAATACCATATGAAGGAATGGAAAGACGCTGTGATTTTACCACTGACACAGCTAAATTAGAGACCATTTTGTAATTGTGCAATGGCCTTTTTACTTGTTCTGGAGCCTTTAGCATTAATTTGAAGTTGTTTAATAGGTTGTAAGAATGTGGGCTGGGAAAAATGAGTGAAACAACCTCGATAAAATGATGTTCAATCCTGTTGGTCATTGCTCTTTTTACTTTGCGATTACATAGGCATACCCTTTGTTGCAAGCTTTAGCTGCCACGTAAATTACATTGTTCATTCTTGTAGTCGCCTACCACAACCTCCTTTGCTTCCCTCATCTATTAGTCATGGCGGAAAGCCTCTACGACCAACAATTCGGGTTCCTGAGAAAACGATGCGAGGAAATACGCTTTAAATACCAAGAAAATATTATGTGAAATTAAAAGTAAAATCCACTGAGCTATTTGATTTTAACATGTAAGCAGCACCATCTCTAGCCGTTGTAAAGGGGCAAAGGCACATCGTCCGAGGCTGACTCACGATTCTGGGCTCAGACGCTTGGTCTATAAGGTTGACTGGACGGAAACATCCCATCTAACATTTTCAATCAGACGGAAACCGACTTTTTGTGGAAAGGAGGATGTTTAGTTTCTCTTCGTCTTGTCTGCAACCTCATGGGCATGTTCAAACAAATACGTGTCTTTTTCCCATTTAGGTATCGTTTCTTCAGTAGCGCGTGAAATGTGTCTTCCCTTCATTGTTGGACAATCCTTGGTGCGAGCTGCATTTCTGTGAAGAGCGTTATACCATTTTTGCTATCCGTTATCACTAAATGGTTTGTTAACGGCTTTAAACATGCTAAATACATTGTAGAATTTTGCATTAAATTGAAGAAATTTTTACTCAAAAATACTGTTTTTCTCAAACCGCCACTCTACAAAAACAGGAAGGAAAAGTGCCTGCCGCATTGGCGCGGTAGTTGATAGGGATCTCGAATTTTGCCAAAGATCAAAAGGGAAAATACATTAACTTTTAACGAAATGTCGAAGTGCAACTACACATACACACACACTCGCTCACAATCTCCACTCCGTTCGCACAAGTGGTAAATGTGTTCCCATCCTCATTCTCGAGGCGCTTGTTTACATTGACACATCACAGGTGGGGCCTTTTTTACTCATTGAAAATCAACGAAAAGTACAAAAAACAGTGGTTGGAAAATTTTGCGAATTCTTAAATGACCAATTTGAAAGAGTAATAGAAGTGAAACTTTAGATGGGAAGTTTGATGCTGTCGGCCGCCCAGGAGGTCGTTTGTATAGTCGGGATGGGGGAGCGGGAGGAGGCTTGCGGCACACAACTTCCACCTGGCCCCTGAGGGGTTCATCAAGCTCACCACCACAACTCACCGACATGGTTGTGCAAGTTCTACCCTGTGACAGAGAAAAGTGTTCGAAAAATTGGGAACCGGGAGGAAAGCCTTCATCTCCGACCTCCGAGCCTCAGTCATCGCCTTTGTAATAACTCTCAATGCCTTGGAGGCACACTTCGACCACTATGACTGCTATACTCGAGGTCGGCAAAGTCATTGTCATGAGGCGAGTCGTCCTTAGGTAGCAGCAATGGCAAAGATATAGTCCCTTTTTCATTCTGTGTGCTCATTTACATACTTGCTCCCAATATCACACGTAGAAGCCACAAATAATCGTCTACTTCACTTTAACTTCAAATACTTGGCACGGGTCACCACCCTGTCCATTTGACTGATCCAGTGTTATGGTGTGGTGTTTGTCACCCACTTGAAAATGACAACTGCTTTCGATGCGTCTACATCATGTAGAAAATTCGCTTTTTTTCAACTGCCTCATCCAAATGCCACCGAATGGTCGCAATGTGTGCACCATCTAAAACGACTGCTGGTCAGCCCGACAGTAGCTGATTAATGCGGCATGGCAACAGAACACCTCTTCACTTCAGCACAGTCATTCATGCAAATCTACTCAAAGCAAATCACGACATGCATTAATTAAGTTCAAGCTTAAGCAACCCTTTGGGTATTCAGCATCTTAATTCTCAAATTGTTTGATGCAACCTCTACAGGCCACATTAGAGTGGGCCAGACTACAATAAACTGTACTGAAATATCCTCAACCTCTACAGTCCCATTTCGTTGTCATTGTATCCCACCTCACCGTCCATCTATGAATCCTAAGACCAGATTCGGTTTCCACATACAATCCTTGTCATTGCCACCAGCACCCACATTTCAATTTTTCATGAACAGATTATACTCACAAATACATACAACCCACCACTGTACTTTACTCTAAACCTAGCCCTTCAAATGCATCTTCATTATCGTTTACTTTTACCCCTACCCCATGCATCTCTTTCCTCCATAACAAAATTAAAATCAGCCTGCATTCTTAGCAGCAACAAAGCCTTCGCTTCAGGCTGAAGAGGCGGTTAGATATGAAATAGCACTACGTGTTTGAGCTAAAACACTGAAATGAGCGTAAATAAGACCGAGTTCCACCCGTTGAGATGAAAAAGTACGCATTTTAATGCGAGGAAATCGAGTGTTGCATTCCAGCAGCAGAAATCACACGCTCTTATCAATTTTCCAAAAGACGGGGCGGGACAAGCTACCGCACGTAATTTTCTCCTGATACAAACTATTAACCCACCGGCGATTAAAAAGTGGACAACTACTTTAACTAATAGTATTCAATTATCTAGCTCACTTTACTACTACATTTTGAGCCACTTTTCCCATTAATCATCTCATTGCCCATTTTACAACATACACTCCATTGCCACAAAATGAGGCACTAAAATTTAGATGCAGCGGCGTTCTCTACAAAATGCAACAGGAAGACCCTTGTTATTCCATGCGTTCTTCGCACTTCCTCTCTCTCTCTCTCTCTCTCCATCACCCACTCCCTCTCTATCCAGTCCTCAACCGCCAATTCGATTCCTTTCCACCCACGCTCACACCACCACAGTCCCTCCCATTCACCAATCACTTCGGCACATATATGCTCTGCTCTCCTATAAGGCGCTCATGCACCACCCACTTCCCACATCCACTTCCCCTCGACGTGGTCACACCACCTTTGGTAGCTCTCCACCACTCGCAAATGCCAACAGCAGTCTCCGACTCACTGGCCAACTCAATGACACCAATGCTACCGACGCCACCAAATCCACTTGCAAGCACGAAGACTGAGCATCGACTGTTCGCAGTGGTACTGGCTTCATCTCCACCTCCCACCTTGCATCCTTCACCTTCACCTCACCTCTCTCCCCTTGCCAAATCACAAACCCCGCTTTCA